GCTCAACGGCGCACACTCGACACGTACAATTACAGTACAGCACTCACACACACATAAGCAGTTGCAATTACTTATACGACAGTGTGTGTGTGTGTGTGTGTGAGAGGATATAGCCAGACAGTCAGCAAGAAACTGAAGAGCCTGAAACTGAGGAACACTGTCAGAAACGTCTCCTAAATGGGTTAAAAGTTTAAAATTTTTGTATAAAATAAATATTACTTTTCTCTTTTTTTGATTGGGCAAACAATATTTTTTTTTGACATTGCTTAGTAATATTTTTCAGCTTAAAAGTGCAACCATCAGAAAAATATTACTATCTTTTTTAGCACATGTAAATATTTATTTAAATGTATTTTATTTCGAAAACTATTAAAATAATAAATTCATAGAAATATTATTAGGTAACAAGGAACATTTATTTTTTGCTCTGTGTAGCAACATAGCCATTCCAAAATGCTGCAGGATAATGGAATGGAATAAAGCAGGACATGGATAAGAGAACGGGAGAAGAAACACATTCTGTGCACATAAAAGGGGGCCAAGGAGTAGGTGGAAGTGGGCGGGAAAATTGTGGAAAATGCAAAATTAGCATGAATGCGAAATACAAGTTAAATATTTGAGCAGCCCAAAGGTGTTTCAAGCGAAAGAGAGAGGAAACGAGCATAAGAATGGAGCATTTTAAGCGGGAAAACACCGAAAAAGCAGAGCCAGGAAAAAGGGAAAATGCAGGCGAGTACGAGATGTCTGTGATGCAATCATAGAAATTGCATTTGCCGGTAGAGCAAATGGTGCTTTCGAGTCCAAAATGAAGTATTCTGCCGCATAAGCAGAATGTGCCCGATAAAGATTTGCTTTAATTGCTTGCCATTATGCCAAAATGGGATATGTGCATCCTGGGGTCCTGAACTCCGAATTGTAAATATTTAAACAGTTTAGTCAGCCACTAGATCGTAATCGAAAATTACAAGAAAATTCTTTACTCTTCCTGCAAACCATTTTCTCCATTCACATTTATTTTCCTGCAGCTAAAGAATCTGTCCTTTATCTCTTCCAATTTTCAACATTTGATAGTGAGAACAAATAAAAAGAAAATCCTTCAAATTCCCATCATACCATCTTCTAAGTTCTTATTAATTTGTCATGGAGCTGAAGAACTTTTCCCTTACCTGTTTTTCCATTTTCCAATATAAGGTTGACATGACACAAGATAAATGGACTGCTGATAACATTTAAAATAAATAAGAACACACACCAACGTTGGCGATAACTAATATTTGATTTATTTACAATTTACCCGCTGCATTTTTTTTATTTTTTCGCTGTCTTTCACCTTGTTTTCTTTTCTTTGGCTGTTGATTTGTTTTTTATTCCTCTCTCTCTCACTCCATGCGCCTTATCAGCAGACTTTGACTTTGGGGACATGTAAATAATTTATATTGTATACTCTGTTATGTGTGTAATTTATGACGGCCGTGCAGGCACACTATAAAAAACAAAGAGCGAACGAGGTGTTATATAGCTCTTATCAGCGTGAAAGTGGGACGGGTGTTCGGGGAGCTAGTAAAATAGTTAGTGCCTGGCAACAATATCAGGCTGGGTTTATGGCGGAATTAGCATATATATATGGAGGAGTATAAATGTGTTTCTGAATATCAAGTAATCTTGGTAATTAAAAATACGGAAATTAATAAAAACACTGGAGAAAAAAGGATTTTGAGACTTAAAATTACAACAAAATGTGGCTATGATTAGCATACAAATTTAATTAACGATTAGATAGAAACAATAATTTAGATAAGTCATCAAAACTTTAAAATGCAATATTATTTTTCTGAATATCAAGTAATCTGGGTAATTAAAAATACGGAAATTAATAAAAACACTGAAGAAAAAGGGATTTTGAGATTTAAAATGACAACAAAATGTGATGATATGCAATACAATTTTTTTAATTATTTAAATAGTTCATTTAAACTTTAAATTGCCTTATTAAATGTTATATTTCATTTCACAATAGGAATTAAAAATCATTGTAATGATTTAATCGAGACTACTTCGATATAGTACAGATAAAAAATGTATATATATATATTTATATATATAATTTTTCGACTTACATAGATTTTGAGATTCCGAATTTAAGAATAATATATTTTGTGAGTGTCTTACCAAGGTTTTTACCTTTACTTAACCTTATTCGGCTGTGTTTCGTTTGCTGCTTATCAAGGCGATGTAACGCACACAAGCGTAAAGAACACACACATTAAGAAAACACACACACGCACAGGGAGATAAACTCACACAGAGACACAACTAATTGCTGTTTACTCAGCCCGCAATTTTCTTTTCAACACTCAGAGAAAAATATGTGAAAAAGCGCTGTAAGCTGAGGGCCATTGCCCGGTGTTCTCGTTCTTCTTTTTTGTCGCTGTGTCAACTGCAACTCACTAATCTCTCACTATCTCACACACACACAGATACTCACTAGCACACATGCACTTTATATATCTCCGGCGGTGCCATCTTTCTTTAACGTTTTATTTATTTTACCAAGAAACAAATAGTTGCCGCGATGCAAACGCGCGATCATAAAAATTTAATTAACTTTTATGAGCTGGGTAAATAGTGGGGAAAATGCATTAAACACAGCGCAGAAAAACTAGAAAAACATTTACTCAAGACCCCGGGTCTGAAAATACATTTTTATTTACTTTCCTTACGATTTTTCATTTGCGTCGTGTTTGTTTATTTGTTTGCCGATGTCTAAGCAAATGTTTTCGCCGGTGTTTGCAAAAGTTTAATTAATACTTCAATGCTAATATTTATGAGGGTTATACAGCAGAGGTTAACAAAATAGTAGTGAACTTAGGATGCAAATAAAATTGGCAACACCTCAACTTTGTAATATTTTTATTGATCTGCAAAATTTTGGTAGACGAAAAAAAGTCTTCAAAATGTTCTTTTAATATTTAAATTTTATTTAGTGTTTTAATCTATTAAAACTATTTTGAAAAAGATGGCAGTACAAATTTATACATTTTTGGAAATTTCAAACATTTTTGGAAATTTCAAACATTTTGATTAAATTAAAAATATATTTTCCAAATGCCCTATTGCTGTGCACTCGTCTGTAGGACTATTTATTTTGGGATTGTTTGCTCTTAAAATACAAAAAAAAGGAAATGTAAGCAAAAATAATTGGCAATTTTCAATTGGAAATTGCGTGCAAATTTATTTTAATTTTGCACCTGCGTTTGCCATCCCCATCGATGTTTGCAATGCAAATATTTTTAGAAAGCCAAAAGAGGGAAAAACCAGCATCGCCCCCTCACCTTTTTTCTGGCCAGTGTTTGTTCAAGTTATTTGGCTGCTTGGTTGCCACCTGGGAACCCAGAGATAAGGAGAGGAATTCGAATTTACCAGCTCGGATTGTTGGATTTATTTGCATAGCATTATGCGACACATACTATACATACAGTTTAAATAAATATATAGAGAGAGAGATGGCCTGCCAAGGTGGCAAATATTATTTCACACATGTGTAAAATATAAATCACTTTATTGCAGCCAATTTGCACAAACGATTTGCTTTGACTGCCATTTTGCGGGCCATGTATGCAAATTGTGTTTATTGTGTGTGTCTGCACAAAACTCCCTGCCACATAAGCCACATTAATTGGATGCAGCCTTTTTGGGCCATTTTTGATTTGTGCCTTTCGCAATTAGCAGAAATATTTCGAGATATATATTTGTTTGCCCTGAACCCAAGGAGTTTTGTTGATTTATTGCAAGAAATTTACGACAGACACAATGCTTATTTATACGGCTTCCTCTCCCTTGGATTTATTCCTCTTTTCAACAGATTGCTGGAAAGGAACAATAAAAGTTTTGTCTGCTTGTGTAAATCCCTATTTGCACAGCCAGCATTTTAAATGTTTTAAGAGCAACGCTTCATTAATTGGGTGAACAAGGTTTTTGAAAGGATAAATTTACATTTTATTTTATTTTTATTCGCTTTTACACTGCCTAAAAACTACCCCTTAATTAATTGCGCAACCAAGATTTATACAATCTTTGCAATTCTACCAGAAACTAATTCAAATTAAAAAGGTTTTCTTGTTTTCACAAACTTTGTGAGGCTTCCACGATGCAAAAATAGTGTGAGGCTTGCCCACAAAAGAAAACTCTCGAGCATTATGCAAAAATATCTGACCATTATCGATTGACCTGCCAAGAGCAGCGTAAAACCATTTTTGCTTTTCCATTAGACTATATGCATCCCTTCGCCAAGCCAAAAAAAAAAAAAAAAAAATAAAACTAATAAACGACGAGAAGAAACGACAGCGACTCTTTTATGAACATAAATTTTGAAAGCCTTTAATGGCGAGCAGCCACAACGACAACAACAAATGGCAACCGCAGCTGTTGCTACGAATTTTTGCAACATTTTTCCTCTGTTTTCGGATTTGGCTGCTCAAATAAATTGCGCATAAATCGTGGGCAACATAAATTTTACATGTTGCCCGGCGTTTGCAGTCTGAAAACAAGTTGAAATTATGTGAGCGAAGCGGGCATAATTTATGCGATCGGATGGGGAGGCAATTAAAATATTTGTGCCAACTAACAAATTTCCTTAATTAAAAAATGTTTTAAACTATGCAATTACGAGTTGAATAAGTGAGATCAACAAAATATAAGTTTTTAATAAGCGGGAAAAAAGAGTGGGTCATATGTATCGGAATTTGGTGTATTTCTACAGCAAGCAAAAAAATAAACAATAATAAATTAATTATACAGCTTTAAAATAATAGCTTTTGCAAATATTTAGTTTATATAGTAAGGTTGAATAGAAACGAGCAAACAAGAAAAGATTATGGGTATTTAGAGCTGTCTTAACTAGCTATTAATTACGCTAAGCTACCTTATCACAAGTTTACACATAGTTTTGTCAATAACCCCTTACTAACTGGAGATCCTTTTATCTTTTCCTTACTTTTCAGCAGTCACGCGCCCGCAAAAACTCCACCAAAGCAAACAAACTGAATGCAGCCGCTGCATCAGCAACATCGCCTCGTCTAAGTCCAGTGCCGGCAGCAACACTGTTGCCGCAGCAATCGCCAAATACCACATCAGCAACAGGCAATCTGCAGCAGCAGCAACAGCAACAGCAGCAGCAGTACCAGCAGCATCAGCAACTTTTGTCGCAGCAGCAACTCCTGTCGCAGCAGCAGCAACAGCAATATCAGCAGCCGCAGCAGCAACAGCAGCACTTCCAGCAGCAACAGCACTTGCAGCAGCAGCAGCACGCACAGCAGCAACATTTGCCACAGCAGCAACATCAGATAACCGCACAAATCCAAACCATGAAGGATCAACCGCAGCAACCCATGGTGAGTCGTCAATCGGTTTCGATTTTTCCCCTTAAATGCCATTGACCTTCTCAGTTGTTCCCCCATCACCCCCTCACTAGTCAATCGGTTTTGATTTTCATTTCGTTTTCCGTTTCAAGGCAGCCAAATGAAAAATACAAAACACAGCAAGCCCATAAATCCGTTTGGCCATATTGCGTATACGTCACGTGGCCCCGGGGCCAATCAATTGCAGCTGTGCATACACTCAACAGCCAGACATATATATATTGTGTATATAGTCTCCCATTCATTCATAAAGATTTGGTCGATTTTTATCAATGATTGCTAAATGCTTTTGAAAACAAAACCACACACCACGCACACACGTGAGCCAGGTGCAGATAAATTCCAGATACAGGAAGCCAGCTGCCTGGCAATTCCACTCCTACACTTACAGAAATTTTACTAAGCAAGTATAGCCATAAAATTGATTTTTTAGAATTTTATTGACTTTTCTTAAAAACATTAAGAAATGCTTTTGGTTTATGTAACTGAATTGAAAACAAGGATAGGAAATATTAAAAGAAGAATAATAATATCTCTCAAAGTAAAATGTATATTTCTGTATTCATCGTTTTGTTTTGAGCTTGATCTCTTTGCAATTCAGTTTTATTTTAATTGAATTTCAACAATTTCTTTTGTGTGTGCAATGCAAATTGTTTGCGTTTTAATTTTTACATTTTATTTGGATTTTATTGCTCGCCCCCATCCCATTACTCCTCACTTTCACTTTCATAACTTTTTCAGCGCGCTCGTAAAAATGCAAATGAAAACGGGTTGAGTTTTGGGTCTGGCCGGCAGTCTGGCTTTGTTTTTCTGCCTTGTTTCTCGTTTTATTTCTTTTCATGGGGTTTTCCTGTTTATTCAGGGAACAAAAAATGTAGCATAATTTGAGGCGCGTTAATTAACAGTGGTGTTTTGTGTACACGCCGCGGAAGTTGTAACTCAGGGCAAAAAGGAAATTTCTGTTTTTGGGGTCTGCAGTTCGCCACCAATTAGACTGAGCCTAATTAGGGCACACAAAATATGATTTATGACTGGCCAATTCAGACCAGCTTTGGGTACATAATTCATGTCAGTTTTTGAACTGTTTTTATGACCAAAATGTTTATTTATGAATGGTCCTGTAAGCCAGTGGAGTAATGGTATTGTGTTTGGGTTAAGTCTAGACCTGAAATTAATGGTAGGATATGGTCATAATAAGGTGGTTAGAAAGCAGCAGTTGAAATTGGTTAATAAATGGTCAAAAAAAATACCTGGGTAATAAATAACAATTTAACATAAATGCGATTTGGTTTTGGGACATTAGAGGACTTTGGGTAACTAATGTTTTCCTAGGGGCTTACTGATTTAAAAAAAGCATTTTGAAATTGCTTTCTAGGAAATAATGAATACATAAAATAATACTTTAACCTTAAAATTATTTTATTATTATTATTAAAAAGAAATTACCAGCAATTACAAAGTTTGAAAGTGGTATACAGTATATTAATTAAGACTTATCCCCTAAAAATTTTAAACTAAATGGCTAAAAATTAAACACCTATACTTACGACCAATACCGCTTTTCCAGTACTAATCGATCCTGGTATTTCCCTTTCTTTTAGGCACCCATGGCCTTCTACCCCACATGGCAGGCGGATCCGTCGCAGGGCTGGCAGAACCAGTTCATACAGCAGATACCACAGAACACACCGGCCATAACGTCCCTGAACTCGCTGGACTTCCAGACGCAGTCGTATGCGTATCCCTCGAACGGCTACGTCCAGTCGGGACTGGGATTCGATCCCAACTACGGAAGGTCGCCATATGCGGCGCCAGTGCAGCGCTACGACTTCCAGAGTCAGCAGTTGTCCACGGCTCCGTCGGCGATCAATCAGGTTGGTCTGCAGAGTGTGGCTGGCTTCGCGCCCAGTTACGCAGGACAGGTGTCCGCCGCTCCAGTGCCGCCGTCGCAGCAACAACAGCAGCAGCAGCAGCAGCAACAACAGCAGCAACATCTGGGAGCGGACCTGAACAAGACGATGTCGGGAAACGACACGCCTGGATATCCGCGGGTGAGCAGCGTGCCGCCGCGCTCACTCAACTGTAACGGGTATTCAGGCGACTACAGCGGTTCCCCAACCACCAACAGCAACAACAGCAACAACAACACTAGTAACACCAGCAACAACAACAGCAATCCCCCGACAGTGGTCAGTGGTGGCACAACCACCCCAGCCCCACCGCCCACTGTAGTGGCGCAGCCCGCCTCCTCGCCCATGCAACCACCCAACCAGGCGGTGCCCCAGTCGCCCACGCGCAGCAACATGTTGCAGCAACAGCAGCAGCAGCAACATCAGTCGCCCACGGGCAACGGGCTGCAGCCCTATGTTTCACCTCAGCAGCAGCAACAACAGCAGCAGCAACAGCAACAGCAGCAACACCTCTCCTCGCCCCCCATGCAGGATTGGAATTGGCAGCAGCAACAACAACAGCAGCAGCAGCAATCCTTGGGCGCCGAGGGATATCCGCAGGGGGAGAGACTCCACCTGAACACCCGCATCAAGTCCATGATCATGCGCAAGAGCGATCCCAAGGATCCGCCGCCCGATTTGCAGCAACAGCAGCAACAACAACCGCAGCAACAGCAACAACAGACCGGTCATTTTTTATCGTATAGCCACCATCTCCGGCCCGAAGCGGCGCTGAGCGCCAACGGACCGAGCAGTGCCACGCCCACCCACCCACTGCCGCCCAACCTGCAGCAAAAACAGCAGCAAGAAATGCCGCCAGCACAGTCGCAGCATATGACTGGTGAGTAGTATTCACAATGTTTCATTTGTTTATTATTATTAATTTATTAATTACTGACAATTATTGTCTAAACTAGAATAAGTTCAAACATCATCTCATCTATTAAAACTAAACATAAAACTTGAATCAAAAGTTAGTTCATTTATCAATTAATACCTTATGGACCTACAATACCTATTTGCCATTTCATCTAGACATTCCTCTGTATTACTCTTCCAGGAATGAATCACCAGCAAGTGCAGCAGGTGCAACAGCAGGCCGTGAATAGTGGGTCAGTGCCTGCCGAGCCGATCGGAGGTGGTGGCGATCACATCTGGAAGCCGCACCACGCCAACTCGTTCAAGAAACCGAGCGTGGTTAGTGGCTATCCAGCAGGAGTAGGACAGGATGCCCAGTTGCAGCTGCAGTTGCAGCAACACCAGCCAGGACAACACACGACCATCAGTCATTCGGTGGAGCCGCCGGTTCCAGTGGCTCCCGTCCCCGTTCCCGTCGCAGCCCAGCCCAAAAAGTCCAGGAGTCGCAGTAAAGCCAGTCGAGCAGCGGCGGCGGCAGCGGCAGCGGCAGAGGCAGCGGCGGAAATTGACCGGGATCGCAATTCCACGGATCCCGGAGGCGGTGGTGGGCTGAAGCCACTCGGTGCCGCCCACTACCCGCCGCATCCGCATGCCGCCGGAGGACCTGGTCCACCGGGTCAGGACTACCACTCGCAGTACATCAAGACCGAACCGGGTCTCCTTGGTCCTCCGCAGCCGAATAAAATGGAGGGCTACGAGCGGAACTACCAGAACTTTATACAATACGCGGACTTCTGCCAAAACGATGGTCAGGGTCAGCCGGTGCAACAGCACCATGGACATGGACATGGACAGCAGGATTACGCCAGCTATCATCACAATTCGGCGTACTATGGCGCCGGAGCTAGTAGTTTTCAGCAGAACTTCCAGCAGAACTTTGTGCCGGGCTATCAGCACTCCACTTACGGAGGCAGAGGGAAGCCTCCGGGGGCCAATCAACCCCATCAGATCCACGGACATGGTCAGAGCTTGATGGAACTCGACCGGAAACCGGACACCAATAGCATCATACCACTGCCCACGAACTACGAGAAGGACATACCCGCCTATCCCATTCCGCCACATCGCTATGCATTGGGCCATGGAGCTCCGCCGCACTTGAGTCACCACGGGATGCTGGAGCCCAAGATCGAGGACATGGGCATGCTGGGACATGGCGGGGGCTATGCCTATCTGGGAAGTGAGGGGAAGGCGCTGAACAATGGGTTCTCCTGCTGCCGACAGGGAGGCACGCGGCCACCCACCGCGGAGCACTTGAAGGACGGCACCTGCCTGGGATTGGGCATCCAGCCCAAGGAGGAGCTCATCGACGAGGATGAGCTCATCGACACGCATGGCAATGGCTTGAAACCCATCGTGGGAGTGGGCAAGGCCAAGGGAAAGCAGAAGCCCGACGAGATCCCCGAGATCGTGGTGAAGCACGAGAAGATCAATCCCATGTTCGACACCACGGATCGACTGGAGAAGGGCAACAAAACGGAGATTCCCGAGTGCGAGTGCTTCCAGTCCGACAAGAATCCCCCGGAGCCGGGTACTTACTACACGCATCTGGGTGAGTAGTCCTACAAATCTGTTCGGAATCAGAAATCTATTTTAAAATCAATTTAGAGAAGAGCAGTGAAATAATAATTAAAAGTGAGATTTTTACTGACCAAAGTAGTTTTCATTTAGAAAAACGATAGAAATATGTATCATCATATATTTAGAATATTATGTACGAGTATGACATATAACATGAAATTGTTTTCCTGTAGCTTAATTTCATACTTAAACTTACAGTGTAAAAATAAACAAATAAATAAATTTCAAGGATTAAATCAGGCTGTTGAATCAAGTAAAATAATTATCTTATTTAAATGTATTATTTTACCAGGCACTGCATCTTCCCTAATGGACTTACGAAGAGAATTCGAGGAGCGTTGCAACCTCACGGGTCGCCAGTTGAGGATCGAAAAGATCGTCTACACTGGAAAGGAGGGTAAGACTTCACAAGGATGTCCTGTGGCCAAGTGGGTCATCCGAAGAGCTGATCTCGAAGAGAAGATTCTGGTGGTGGTCAAGAAACGACCGGGTCACAGGTGGGTTTTCTCTATTATTATCTATTTTACAATGGTTCTCAAACTGTAATATTTGTATTTTCCAGATGCATAGCTGCCTATATTGTAGTGTGCATGGTGGCTTGGGATGGAATGCCTCGTTTGGAGGCGGATAATGCCTATAAGAATCTGATCCCGAAGCTCAACAAATACGGCCTGCCCACCACGCGAAGATGTGCCACCAATGAGAATCGCACCTGTGCCTGTCAAGGTATGTAGTAAACCTATATTATTAGAAATACCCTTTTTTAAAAATTAACCAATTTTTTAATTTTTAAAAATAATAATCACAGTATTTTAAAACAAAAGTCTTTAAATCTCTTTCTAAAGTCCTGCTTTTAAGTAACTTTCGAACTCAAAATTGAGAACGTAGGAATTCCTTAAGCGAAAGCCATTTAAATATGTCTTTTCTGGAATATCAAAAAATATATATTGAATTTTTAACAAACAAGTGTTAAGCCCAGATATATTTTTCTTTTAAATTAAATTACTTTCCAAGATTAAATTTGTAATATTGCAGATATAGTATTAGGAATTTTTAAGAATACAGTATACGACCACTAACCAAACAATATGGTTAGTGATACGACTTAGCGATTTTCCACATGTCCATTTTGGTCTCCATTACATACTTCATGTTTAATACTAACTTTAACCAATTTGCAGGACTGGATCCGGAATCGTCGGGCGCCTCGTACTCCTTTGGTTGCTCCTGGTCGATGTACTACAATGGTTGCAAGTACGCCCGCTCCAAGACGGTGAGGAAGTTCCGGCTGTCGGTGAAGAGCGAGGAGGCGGCCATCGAGGATCACATGAACCTGATTGCCACCCTTTTGGCGCCGGTGTTCAAGCAGGTGTGTCCGCGGTCCTACGACAATCAGACGAAGTACGAGCACGAGGCCAGCGATTGCCGGCTGGGCCTGGAGCCCGGAAAACCCTTCTCGGGGGTCACCGCCTGCCTGGACTTCTGCGCCCACTCCCACAGGGATCTGCACAACATGCAGGATGGCTGCACGGTGCATGTGGCGCTGCTGAAGCCCGGCAATCGGGACACCCGCCTCCCAGACGACGAGCAGTTCCACGTCCTGCCGCTCTACACGATGGACGGCACGGACGAGTTCGAGAGTGTCGAGGGTCAGCGGGACAAGCACCGCACCGGGGCGGTGCAAATGCTGGACAAGTGAGTGTACCGTTGAGTTTTGAGCAGCAGCTCCCAGGCACTCCGAAAAGAAATCGATCGAGGATCAGGGAAATCGTCATTAGATAATCAAAAAAAAAAAAAAAATGTAATTATGTAGAGCAAATTGCACAATTTAACAATGTCACGATTTACAAACTAGAATCCTGAGTTTATAATATTAACCAAGTAAATAACCTTTTCCTAAAGATTATCGAAAAAAAAAAAAAAATTAACAATGTCACGACCTACAAACTAAAAAAAACAAGGGTTTTAAACTGTTATTTTAATAAGTTCCTTCTGAAATTAAAAAATATTCTGATTTATAAATAACGATATTAACGATTTCCCACATTTAAGTTCGATTTCTGTTCAGAGTGTATTAATTCCTGGACTTTGCTAATATGCACTCCCTATCTTGCATCCCAATCGAATAGATTCCCCTGCGAAGTACGCGTGCGATCGACCCCTTTGATACCCTGCAGAAGACACGGCAAGAAGCGGAAGGAGGGCGACGAGGCGGCGCCACCGGACGGGGACCAGGATGCGGTGGGCGATGCCAACAGCCAGAGCAGCTCCAGCAATGGCGCCCAGTCGCAGACGCAGGCCAACAACAACCAGCAGAGCAGTCCACCAGCTTTGGGAGCAGCCCACATCAAGAAGGAGAACGGCAGTGGAGGAGCAGCGAATGGTGGGGGAGCGGGTTCCAAGTCGAAGGGCAAGGGCAAGTCGAATCAGTCGAACAACTCCAGTGCTTCCACGCCGGGATCGGCCCCTCCCTCGACCCCCTCGCCGCGATGCCAGACTCCGGTGACGAACAATCCCAGTCCGGCGGGCAGTGCCTTCAGCACGCCGCCCGTCCACGGATCCAATGCCAATCCCCAGACGAATGGTGGGCAGACGGCGGGTGCAGGTCAGCCCGGCCAACTAATGAGCTCCAACTCCAGTCTGATGAACATGGCCACCATGATTGATACCTTCACGGACGCCCAGCTGCAGTCCAATCAGATCTCAAGCACTGTCCTGGATTCCCCGTATTCCTACGACTACCAGACGGGTTCCTATATCGACTCCAGGAACTACTACGGCCAGTGGCCCACGCCTCATGCTCCGATGGGCATGCAGGGGCAAGTGGGCGGAGGAGGACCAGGAGGACCGGGCGGAGCAGTAGGTCCTGGAGGAGCTGTGGCCGGCGGAGTGGCACCCCTAACGCCCACCACGCCCACGGCTCAGCCACAACTGGGAGTTCCGCCGGCGACTTCGTTACCCGGAGGAGGAGGAACCACCACAGGAGCCCCACCGGGAGCACTTCCACCCACAGCTCCTGCCGCGGTCACTCCCAATCATCTGGAGACGAGTAATGGCTACGGACCAGGCAGCTATCAAACGCTGGTCAGTAATCCCAATCCCGCCTCGAATCTAGCCAATCCTGGAGGAGTAACCACCGAAGTGCAGCAGGTGCATCAGCAAAACCAACAGCAACAGGGAGTCCTAGCTCCAGGAGGAGTTGTCCCCACGGGACTACCCTTGGTGGGCGGGGCACCCGGTGACCTCAAGAGCCGCCTGGTCAGCGAGGAGAATCCCGATTCCACGACCTTAGTGAACCACCATCACCACCACCACAACCTCACGGAAAGTAAATTAACCGCCTTGACGGCCATGCAACCGATGACGAACCTCGCCCAGCTGACCACCTCACATCATCCGCAGGAGGGATTCGTGAAGCCGAAGCCACCGCCCAGCGATTACACGGCCCAGTATACGGCTCAGTATCCCAACAACTACCAGATGTACCCGCCTCCACCGCCACCGCCCCACTCGGCGTACTCCGCCTACGATGCCTACCAGAACATGAACTACAACTACGGCTATCACCAGGCGTACTCGCCCTACGGGATGTATCCCCAGCAGACGCCGCCTCCCACGCCTCCGCCGCCCTCGCCCAACTGGAACATGTATGGTCACCACCAGACGGGGTCCGTGAACTCGGGCTATGGTGGTGCGAATCCTGCGGTCGGAGCGGGTTCGTTGATAGCCACCCATGGTGCAGTGGCGCCGGCGGGAGTGGGTCTCCAGAAGCCCATTGTTCCAGTACCAGGACCGCTGCATCATCAGCAGCAGGTGCAACAGCAACATCAGGTGCAGCAGCAACAACAACAGGAACCGCCACAGACGATATTACCCGACCTGAGTAATGGCCAAACCACCTCCGAAACGGTAGCCACACCCACGCCCACCGGCGAAGCGCCGAGTAATGATGCGGGATCGGGCAATCCGGGAGCTGGAAACCAAACACCCACTGGCGGAGCAAGTGCAGCAATCACGGCTCCACCTGCTGCTTCGCCGGGCAGCACGAATTCCAGCAAAATCGAACCCATCGGCGAGGTGGCCGAGATCAATGAGAACATCGAGGCCTTCCAGGATCCGCAGATGGGGGGCGTGGCCATTGCCCTGAATCATGGCAGTGTCCTGATCGAGTGTGCCAAACACGAGATGCACGCCACGACGGCGGTGCGAAGGCCGGATCGCCACCATCCAACGCGGATGACCCTGATCTTCTACCAGCACAGGAACCTCAACAGATGCCGACATGGCATAGACGAGTGGGAGGAGAAGATGCGGGTGAAGAAGATCAACACGGATCTGGACAATAAAGCCAAAGAGGAACGCGAGCGGCTGATGAAGAAGGCGGCTGGCGAGGATCTGGACGATCTGGATGAGGATGCCCTGATGGACGAGCCGTCGGCGCCCGTTAAGAAGGAGTCCGCCAATGGACAGCAGCTAAAAAACGGAGCCAGTGGCAGTAAGAAAAAGAAGAGCAGCGCCGATTCCAAGAAGAACCAAACCAGCGAGCAGTCAAAAAACGAGAAGGTTGCCCTCCACGCACCAACACTGACGACCACGTCGTGGACGACCCTGTTTCCCATGCATCCGTGCGTGGTTTCGGGGAAATATCCGGAGGGCAATAGCAGTCCGACCTCGTCCACGAACAACGCGCCCAACGGTGGTGGTTGCCCACCAGGCCAACAACAACAACAGCAGCAGCAGTTGGCTCCTCCTCCTGGCAGTGGGCTCGCCCCCACATACCGCCGGCCACGCCCACTGGCACCGCGGCACCACCGCCGCCCACTCCGCAACAGCAGCAGCCGCTGCCGCAGCAGCAGCAGACCTGAATCTCTTCAGGCTGAGGGGCTACTACTGGTAATCGGCCACCGCCGGAGTCCTAATCATAAGCATCCACACAAATCAGCCCTGTCCGGATTTCAATTACGGCGGATTAGGCGGTTAGGGAATTAATAAACTGAATATATTCCAGAAGCAAGCGAAAATGGGTTTGAGAGTTTAAGAAATTGAAATCAGTTTTGAGACTTATTTGGAATAACCAAAAAACATATTCATTTAGATTTCAGTTTGATCTTATCTTTGATCTTATCTTTCAAAAGGGTTTCTGTATACATTTTCATTTCAGAAAGAGTTTTTAAAAATCTTGTATGTAACACTTATGAAACGCAAAAGTTCTGGATTTTTTTCAAAAAGCTAGATTTGAAACCAAAAAATTGTAAAACTATTTTAATATAACGCGTTTTCACCAACTTCAAAATGTTATAATTCAAAATTATTTAACTCTAACTGGTTGTTTTGAGGAGGTAACCTTTTAAGAAATTAACAAAAAAAATTTTTTAAAATGAATTTAAAAATCAGAAACCTTTTTCCGTTAAAGTAAGCCGCCAAAATAAATCGAAATGAAATGAAATGAAAAAAGAACAGGGCTGTATGACTGAATATTCACTCAAAGCAAAGAAAAGAAACGGAGACAAAAGAATTGATTATTTTTGTAAATGCGTCTGATTTTGTGTGCCATAGGAGGAGAGTAGGAAAAGTCCCCCAAAAGGAGTTGCAGTTAAAAAAGTACAGTTGACGCTGCCAGGCTAGAGTTGTCACCATTCCACGAATAAAAAAAACAAATCCCAGATACTACATACATCACTCAGCAAAAATCACACAAAAATAACAAGTTTCTAAACTGATAAAGCAGCTAGTTTAAATTCAACTATTAACTTTAGTTTCTTAAGAGCCAGCAACAAAACAATTTCTGTTAAATGAGTTATTTTTTAAAGACAAGCAAAAAACAAACTACAGAAGAGCCACAAAAACGAATACTACTAAAACAAAAACTAAATAAAGAAATTTTGCTTGAAAACAAAAAAGTCATATTAAGAGTTAGTGGGAGTTGAAAAAAGAAAGATCATTGCCAAAAGTACAAATAAACCATTTTTTAACAAGCAACTAGAAAAACTTAAAGAATTTCGCAAGACAACAAAAGAAAATAGTTGGTAACAAAGGAAAACAAAAGAACTACACTACATTACAAGAGTTTTAAATTTATTTAAGAACCTTTTTTTTTAACAATTTGACTGTCCTTTGGGATTGGCTCGAAAATTGAGTGGCAGTGCCAAACGAATTTAAATTGTATAAAATGAACAAATGAGGTATTTCTCTCTTTAAAAAGGTTAAAAATGATTTTTACACTGAAAGAAATTTCTCAATTGCTCAGCTGATTTACCGTTAAACCAAACCACAAGCAAAACAGTTGAAAATGGTGCGAGCAGGACAACTACAACTACAACTAGAGAAGAATTGAATATTTTTGAGCAAGTGAGAAAGAGACAAACAGAGCGGCACACGCTTGGTGAGAAAGAGATAAACCGATGGAAATATAAGGCAGCAAGACATTTTAAACTTTAATCATAATTTAAACTAAGTTTAAGCAACACACACACATGCAACACAAAACGAAAGTTATATATTTATTTATGCGCAAATCGACGGCAAATAAGGGGTTAATTCTAGTTATTATTATTTCTGCAAGATTTAGTTTGAAAAACCCAAAAAGACTCGAAACCAATCAAGTATTAAGCACTAAACAACCAACAACTAATACTAAACTTATTTGCCTAACCATTTGTAATTGTTGTATAAAACTCAATTAATAATTTGCATCCATCCAAAAGGTAAAATAAAAATTAAAGATTAGAATGCAAAATGTGGCAGCGCAACTGAATTTCAAATCAAATTAGTCTACATATAAATATATTTTGCACAAAACAAAACAAAAAAGGAAAGGATAAGCAAAAAACGGTTATTGATAATACGATTTTTAATTTCGACGATTGTACGTAATGTAATGTAAATGTAAGGCAGCGAAGAAGACTTTTGAGCAACAAGAAAAAACATGTTTTGATAAATATTTAAATGTTTATATAAATATATATATATATTAATATAACTTATGATAATTGATAATTGATTAACTGATTACGCAAGCCAACAACTATTATAGTTTGTAAATGCTTTTTTATCATTTTCAAATAAAAGCAAATCCTTTGCCATTATTAAGTTACACAACACCCCAAATCGACTTTTGAGTTTCGCGGGGCGACCGGCGTGCACCTTATATATAAACTATACGTATTGGCATATGATAAAGCAGAAACAAAAACCAATTAACACTGAGCAGCATAAGTAATAAGCCGAAATCAGAAATTAGAAATCAGAAAAGAGAACAAAGATAACGCACCTGGTATAGCGACTTTCAGGTGCGAAATCAGCGAGAGATACGATATAGCGATGATACATACATATTGTAAAACGATACACACAAACCGAGAACGTATATACAGATTGTGCAGCACGAAGATGGATGGATGAGAAAAAAACATAAATTATATTTATTTAAAGTACGCGCATGGAAAGCAAACAGATATTAATATTAAATAAAACGAAAACAAAGTTAAAATCGCCAATTTGTTTCTTTCTTACGTGGTTTTAAAGTGGTTTTATCATATGGGACTTCAATAAGTTTGCTGTAATTTGTTTAACTTCTAAATTTTAATGGAAAACAATTTTTCTGGCATACAAAGTCGTACATGTCAAAATTTATGACCATTTCAAGGCTTACTATGAATTTTCCTTTCATAATACATTTAGAATCTTGCTTAAAACCAAACAAAATTCCAAAAAATCACCACAAATAAATTTTGTGTTAATTATAATTACGTTGAGATGCACTATTTATAAAGATAGCCTTTAATGCAGCAATGGAAATGTGCGCTTGAGTCGGAGTAAATTGTAAATTGGCCAAAGTGCCTTACAACCTAGCTAGCCTAGTTATTTACATCGAAGTTTTCTAAGTACATGGCAAGTGATACTATCGCTGAGCTGCGTTTAAAGGTTGAGGACGAGTTCCTTGGAGTAGTTGTCCAACGACGTCTGATTGAAGGAGCCGAAGTTCCAGTGCTGGAAACGATTGTCGGGGTCGCACTTGTTGACCACCACCTCCTGGGAGAAGGGCAGCAGCTCCAGGCATCTTCTGCCCTCCGCGCCGTGCTTAAGTAGCTTCTTGTGGTAGTCATAGAACCAGTACTGATTGCCACCCTGTCCATGGCAGTCCCACAGCCAAACGGGGGCATTATCATCCCAGATCTGTACGTCCAGGCATTCCTTCTTTCGCCGTAAACGCAGATCGCGTTTCCAGCTCAGCTCCCAGAACTGAGTTTTCTGTGGAATCTTTATATCGTTGGCACATGAGTACATTCCCATCTTGTTGTGCTTCTTTCTGCTCATCGTGTCCAAGCATAGATTCGTATTGCCCAAATTCTGCAGGGCGCCAAGAGCATAGCTCGGCGGATCCACCGGCGGGTAGGTCTTCATCAGATCGAAGGCCACCTCCTCCATGAACCACTTGAAGGACTTGCACTTCAGCTTGGTGCGGATCGCCTTCTGTGCGGTCAGATCTCCAGGATCTACGCTTTCATAGAGTCCATCGCCGTGGCTGTACAGGTAGTTCTTGTACTCGTCCATCCAAACCTCCGCCACTCGTTTGTAATTCTGCAAAAGAGTCAGTATGATTAATTCATTGATTGATTGCTTAGATAAGATAGATATTAGATATTATCGGAAAACAAGGTTATTAAACCGCAAATCATTTTGTTTTTTATGGTCAGCAATCATAGGGGCTTTAAAAGTTACTTCAATATTTGCAAGCCCATTTTGCTGTAAACCGTTTCGCATTATTTAAAGTATTTTTAACATCAAAGTGTTAGGTTTGCTGCCCTGAATTTTCGATAGTAAACATCTATTTGCAAAACAAATATCAAATAAAGATGTCCCACACAGATTAGATAGTGAAATTGCTGAGAAACTCGGCATAGGCCTTTAAATTTAGCACCAATATGACAATTTTTTTGTTGTGTACTTTTTAAAAAGCAAGAATGAAATCTCTTTTTTGATCTTCACAAGCAGATTTACACACAAAAGAACTTAAATAGAGACTGTAATAAAAGTGAGAAACTGGTATTCCTACGGCTAGATTGATGGGCGTGTCTGTGAATTTTAAATGCATTGCTCAATTCCAAGAACGTGTTTTGTTTTAATGAAGTCAATCAACTTAGCTCATTTAAAGCGATTTTGAAGAGATAAAATATATAACATAATTGCCAATTTGTCGACTCACCTTGTGCAGATAGTCGCCCTTTCTGGGACTTGGCTGATGGTGGCGGGGTCCCCGATATATGTGACCAATGCGAGAGCAGGGAGCATCGTACATTTCACCGCCGCACATCCAGATCTTGAAGCTCAGCTCGTACTGCTCTCCGCCCCAGATGTCCAGACCCTCGTCGTAGCCGCCCAGTTCAAAGAAGAACTCCGTGGAAATGGCAAACAGTCCGCCAGCCATTACGGGGCTTTTGAAGGGATCCGCCGGCTTCTGCAGATCCTCTTCCAACAAGGGCAGTCGCTTGTAGTAGAACTCCCAGTCGAAGGCTCCTCGGGCACCCTCATCCTGCGCCCGGTAGTTGAAGTTGGAGTGATCGATCACATCGATAAATGGACACACCGCCGTCCGTTTGTTCAAGGCGATCGGTTCCAGCAGCGGAGGCAACCAGTTGTAGTTGGCTTCCACGTGAGAATCGAGGAAGATGAGCACTTCAGCAGTGGCATTCCTGGCTCCCTCAGCTCGGGCTCCAATCAAGCCCGTGCGTTTTGGCAATCTCACCACGCGAACCCACTTGAAGTGATCCGCAATGTAGGCCTCCAAATCGTGACCCAAATAATCCCGATCGCTGTGATCGTCCACCAGGATTATCTCCTTGAGAAGCTCGGGCGGTGAACGGTTGATCAAGCTATGAACCGAGCGCATCAGTACGCTCAAATATTCGTTGTAGAAGATGATGATCACACTTACAGTGGGCAACTTGGCCACATATTCCTTTTTGCGGCAGCTGCAAAGAGTTTAAAAAAACATATGAAAAAGTTTCAAGGGTCTAGATTTAAAGTTAGCTTGCAAACGATGAAGAAAAATACGAAAATGGGTTCTATCAACTCGCCTAGTGATGCTTATAAAGAATATATACACTTATACGGTTTATTATATATTTTTGTTGTATATATATAAGCTTTTTTCTAATTAAAATTCATAAATATATGTGATTCATATTATAATAAAAAGATTATCACAATAAACGTGATAAGCTTTTTTTTCTTCACATAACATAGATATTATTTTACGAAGTACACCCTTATTAAATTCAATGAGTGCCCCAAAAAAATATGATTGTATGCCAAAAACTTACAGATGGTGGCGGATGTCCGGCAGCGAGCGGTTAACTGATATTGAATCCGAAAGCAGCGCATTAAATCCATTCTCCAGCGACATTTGTTTCTCCAACTCGCGCTGGGTCTCGTCGTCCAGCGTGGCGGCTTTTCCTTTTTCCCCGAGACCCACTCTCTGTGCATCTCTGGCCATAGCCGTATAATCATGCCAGTCCTTCTTCACCGAACCATCGGCGGGTGGGGCCACCTGCAGCTCCTCCTGAGGCTGCTCATCGCCCACCGGCTCCGGCTCATCGATCTTCTGCAGCTCTGGATCCTCTTCAAGATCGTGTTCCTCTGACTGTTTCACATCTGGTTTCTTAACTTTTGCCTCGGGAACTGGCTTCCTTGGCTGCTGGACATCGCCGGAAAGTCCAGCCTGTTCGGGCAGGGGCTCTACGCCGTGATGTACGGGCTTATTAGTGTACGGACTGGAGGAGATCCAGCTGGTTATCAGTATGAAGAGTGTCAGGGAGATAAACAAAAGCAGCGAGGCCTTCACTATCCACTTGAGATTGGGTCGCCTCATCCTTGCCGAATATCCGTGGTTACGTGTCGGCTATACGGGTCTCTATATAAACCATTAAGTAAAGCCTCGATAGACCTATTGTCCCACTGTTAGCTCAGGTGTTTCTGGTGTTTGCTGGGTTTGCCCTCTATCTTGCAACGTGGTTTCTTCTACGTCAAAGAGAAATGAATACTGCAAAAAAAAGGGAAACGTAAGCGCATTTGTACACACATATCTTTTTTGAGTGTCACATACAAAAAGAACCCAAAGATAAGCGAGACATTTTCACCAAATTGAATGTTGAGATAAAAGAAATTGTGTGGTACTGAGCACTTAAAGAACTTCCGGTGAATATTAACATTATCGCTTATGTATGTTTATAAGTAATTACTATATATAAAGAGTATTATAAACTTTAATAAAACCAAACGGACTGGCATTGTTTATAATTCATGATTTTATGGAATTTATCAGGTGAAACGTCATCAGCACCTTGAGTTCTTATTAAAAGAAGGCAGTGTTTTTAATGGATTTTTAGGGGTTTATACCCATTCTCACCCGGTTAGAATTATATTTCGCGTAAAGCTTCAGCCGATCTGGGTTGAATAAACTAATAGCTACTAATTAGCATAGCAAAACAAAAGTTCGCTTCCACGTCCACGGAAATTCGGTTTTTTTGGCTGTTCTTGGCGCTGTTCTTGTGCCGTTCACTCGGAAACGCCTGCACTTGCCGCAGAATCAGCTGTTGGGGTATTTGCCCCGAAAAAGGGGCGCCGTTTAAAGGGGACTAAAATCTTCATTCAAATTTATATCCAATTCAAAAAATAAAATAGTAACAATTTAAAAAATGTCTTACAGATAAAGCATTATTGGCTATTTAAAATTTTAATGCTTTTTAACTTTCTTAATTATATTTAATATACTTAAAGAATGACTGCCTTAATATCTTTTTGGATATTATATTCTTGTCAGTTTAATGCAAAACGTTATTATTAAATACAAAATCCACATAAATTATTAATAACTTCATGCTTTATTGGCGTAAACAAGTTCCCTAGACAATGTTCAACATTTTCTTGACCTCCTCCTTGTATTTGCCCAAATTGTACTCGTTTTCACCCTCGTTGATCAGCTGCTCCACACTATTGGCATATGATTTACTGGGAGACTCCTTGGGGGCGCCCTCTTTGGCGTTCCAGTTGAGGATTCCCTCGGCGGAAATCTTCGACTGGTTCCTTTCAAACAAATACTCTTCCATGTCGGCCTCCGATTTGGTTTCCTCCCAGGGTTCGGTGACAAAGGATTCGTGGTAGCAAGCGGTGAGTAAATACAAGGCGTAGTCGTAGTTCTGCTTCTTTTGGGGACACCGATCCGTGACAATTGTAAGGATATCTGTCTCCTTGTTGTAACGATCGCCCACGAGGCGCAGAAACTTATCCCGGGAATGCGAATCAAACCGAAGATCAGAGAGCTTCAGGGACACGGTCACCTTCCTGGCCTCCGGGTTCCTGATCGTGGGCAAACTCTGGCAGTAGTCTGTGGTGGTGACCTCGATGGGAAAGTGTCGCTGCCACTTGGCTTCCGTTTCCAGACCCTTTGGCCACGGGGTGCAGAATCTCTTAATAGCTTCGCATTGCTGACGAATGGCAGGCGGTGTTAAATGCAGAAAGTTGGGGATTTTCATCAGCTCCGCATTGGCGAATTTCGAGGGGGCTGCCGCCCCACGCTCCGTGAATCCCTGGCGAAGTGGCAGAGGCACACTGGCCGGGTGGAAGGATCGTGGTCCTGGCCAAACAGCCGTCCAATCCTGATCCACTGCCATGCGAGTGGTGCGCGGAGGTGTGATGGGATCCCTGCGCACCTGCTGGCGCCGCTGGAATTGCTGCTTCACCGTCCGCAGGCTGAGCACTCGGAATTCTGATCGAACAGGAAGATATACCCATTAATGTATACTCCTAGAAAAAGCGTGTTGTTTACCTTCATCGTCTTCAATTTCTGGCTGGTCCTGGTTGGAAAAAACACGGATTCTGCTTTGGGCCGCATGTTTTTTGAGTGGTAATCGCTCCCACAAACGAGTTAATCCAGCAGACATGGTTTTACACTTAAATTTCTTTTTTGAAATCTACTTTTTATTAAAAAACCTATCAACTTTTGCGGCTTTTACGTAAACCATGCGACTACTAAATGCCATTCTCCCCGAACTGCAAAAGAAAACAGCTGTACACAGGGGACTGCCATTCCCAGGTGACATTTAAGCGGGTTTCTAATAAAATTCCGTTAAAAAGTTTATGTTTTAAATTACAAGCTAACAAAAACACAATTAATAAATTATTAATAAATATAGCACACTTAGAAATTATTGTGATTCAATTCTCTTCGGGTCTTTGCAGAAAAGTGTCAAAAACCGGCACTCCTAGGCTCATAACTTTTCCTACAGGCATCCGTTTTAACAGTGGCATACCTCTAAATGATTGTGTTTTAATTCTCTTAAAATCTGTGTTCAAATTTTGGTTTGTATTTTTGGGTCGATTTTTCATCATTTTAATGATGTTACCCCTTTCCAAATTTTCGAAAAACGGCTTTCCAGAAAAGTGCCCTTAAACCTGCAGTTCTAGGCCAATAACATTTTTACAGACATCAGATTTCAAAGTGGCATATATCTTAATGATTGTGTTTTAATTCTCTAAAAATCGGTGTTTTCACTATTAATTTTGTTTTGGATCGATTTTTCATCATTTTAATGATGTTACCCTTTTCCAAATTTTCGGAAAATGGCGTAGCTGAAAAGCCTCGAAAACCTGCACTCCTAGGCTCATAACTTTTCCTACAGGCATCCGATTGCAAAGTGGCATTTTGTGGCATCAAATTTTGGTTTTTATTTTTGGGTCGATTTTTTGTCATTTTAATGATGTTACCCCTTTCCAAATATTCGGAAAATAGCTTAGCTGAAAAGTGTCAAAAACCTGCGCTCCTAGGCTCATAACTTTTCCTACAGGCATCCGATTGCAAAGTGGCATACCTCTAAATGATCGTGGCTTAATTCTCTAGAAATCTGTGTTTTTATTTTGGTTTTTATTTTTGGGTCGATTTTTCATCATTTCGATTAAGTTGCCCCTTTTCAAATTTTCGAAGAATGGCTTTACAGAAGTGTCAAAAAACGTAACCTTACAGAAAAACGATTTCAGATTATAATATCCTCTGCAAATGTATAAAAATAGAAAAAATAAATACAGTTCCCACTTTCCTTTTATATACATTTTTATTTAGGTAAAATAATAAAAAATATAACTTTGATGTACTGTAGTAATATGGCTAAAAAGGATAAGTTCAATCATCACATCCAATCGGGATCCCAGTCCCTCGTCTCCCTCGCCTTGTGCATGTGCTCCTTTTATGTACATTATTTATTTTTAGTAAAACATTAGAAAATAGTGTGTTATGCTGTAAGCCCCTTGGAACTAAAGCTACCGTAAACCTAACCGATTTGGGTGATTGGGAAACCCAAACTTGCTTAGTGGATTTCCTGTTTCCACTTGTCGCGCGCCTCCAGTTTTGCCTCCGGAACGAGCGAGCTCTTGGCGCCGCCCAGGATATTGGTGGTGGCCTGGGTGGCCAGCACCGCCGGGCAGACGACGAGCTGCGGGATCTGGCGCACCACCGCGCCCACTGCTCCGCTGTAGCCCTTCTGGTCGTGCTCCGTGATGGCCGCCTCGATGAGTGTGTTGGCCGATTCGTTGATGCCATCCCTCACGATGGTGTAGGCGTTGGCCACGCCCTCGCGCAGATCCTTGGGTCGTCCCTGGCGCCTCCTCCTGCCCTGCCTGCCGCCCTTCCTCTTTTTCATGGATGGACCTGCGGATAGCATGTCAAAAGTGGTCTCCGCCGTGAATTGCAGCAGGTGTATGATCCTCGAGGTGATCTCCAGCGCTGCCAGTGCTGTGCGGGCCGTGAAACTCTGCGCTCCCAGCTGGAATCCCCTGATAATCCGTCCATCCTTGTTGTACTGCTCTATGGGCAGGCGGAAAAGATCGTAGAATCCCTGGAAAAGCTGCAACACCGCATTGGTGGGCCCGATTCCACTCAAGATATTAGGGAGCTGATTCCGCTTGATGTCCTTGAGCCACTCCTTGGCCAGAAACTCGCAGAGTTTGTTCCACCCCAGGATTCCCCGGCGGTTAACGATTTCCCTCAAATTAATTCCGGATCCTTGTAGCTGGGCCAGACCCATGATCAGGCCAGTGACGGGTCCTCGGGAGAGCTCGATCCGCCTGCCATGGTAGTCGAAACAAATGGGAAGCGCTGGACTGAAGATCACCTCGCGGAAGAACACAGGTGAAGCAGTGGCAGGATCCTCCTCTAGTTCGATCTCCACGCTATTCTCTTCAATCAGCACATTCAGATTCCTTTCCACCATCTCCTTGACCTCCGAATCGGGCAATTCATCGGACTGATCCTCCGGCAGCTTGCTCACCGACATCACCGGCATATCTGTTGCGGAGGAGCTGCTGACCTCCGTCTTGGTGCCGCCAGCAGCACTGGCGGAGTTCCGGAACATGCCAGAGAAGAAATCCTCCAGGAAGAGCAGAGTATCCTGGTCGATATTGAGTTTTATGGGCAGGATGGAGACCCGCAAAGAACACTCCTCCGCTGAGCTCTTCTGTGGATTTGGACGCACATTAAGAGCCTTCACAATTACCATATTCTCGTCTGGTCTGTGGGACAAATTGTTGCCCGTCGGGTGATACAGAAACTTGTTGATGTCCGACGAACGCAGTCTGTCCCTGATTTCAATTTCCGACACGAGCAGCACCTGTCGAGATGAGTACATGGAGGTCAACGGGTAGGTTTCGTAGGAGAAGCGGATCTTGGAGAGCTGTATCTCCACCAGAATCTCCAAATTGCGCTTGGAACCCTTGGGCTGTTTGAGCAGGCTTTTCCTTGAACCCTTCCTTTCCTGTTTCTCTTGTTCCTGGGCTTGCGATACTCCATACTTGTACGTCTCCGACATGCCAAAGCCACTGGCAGCCGTTGACGAGGATTTCTTGAGTGGTTCGTCCGGGAAATCTCTGCCGCCATAAAGGTGCCAGGTGAAGGTCATCTCGCAGAGAGTGTAACTGCTCTCGGCCATTGGGAAGTTAGCTGGAGGCCTCAGCAGATCCACCTTCTCGTGGGGCAATTCAAAGTGGTTATCCACGATCTGGAGGGGATCCTCCGAGATGTAGATTTGCTTGATGCCGAACTTGTCCATGCGGCAGATCTCCTCGTCGTGGATGATATCGAAATCGCGCTCCTCCAGTGAGGCATTGCCCAGGGATCCCAGCTCCTGCTGCACTTGCGAGCCCAGCGAAGTCTGCGGTTGCATTTGGCTCTGTTGGTAGTATGATGTCAGTATCACATTCGATTCAAAGTCCAGAATGTCGCCAATGACCGAAGGACTCTCCACCATCAGCGATGTGCTCTGAAGTTTGGCGGGCGTAAACTTTCTCTTCTCCTTGGGCTCATCCGGAAAGTAGAAGATCTCGATGCCCTCCTCCCTGCTTCCCGGGGATTTGGTTGCCCTGGGATTGGGCGAGCACTCTACATCCATCACGGCATCGGCCATCAATTTGTTCACTTGGTTCTGCGTGTGATCGTTCACCTCCTGATCCTCATTGGGTTTGGGCTCTGCGACTTTTGTTTCCTCGTTTAAGACGGGCTCCTCTGGCGGCGACAAATCTCTGTCGTTGGCTACATAGGCTATCAGTTGGGCCAGAGCTGCCGCCGAGTCGTAGCAGGTCTTCAGGTGCATGTCGTGAATGGAGGAGCGCAGATCCACTCGCGGCTGTCCACTGCCCTCTGCATTCAACCTGAAAGATATATTCAGTAGTCCAAGATTCAAAACGGGTATCAAAGCGTCATTGGATTCCTTAACCAATCCCAGTTGGAGTACACAATCCTCGGCCAGAAGTCGCAGAGTGCAGCCACTCATGGAGGATATAATATTGCTGCTCAAGGTGCAGTAGCCCAAATCCAGGAAAGCTCGTTGCGGGAAGAATTTCGGGCGATAGTCAATACCAGCATTCCAGACATGCAACTGCAGTTCGGAAACCAAGGCGAAGGGTTCGTATTCCTCGATGGGAAAGTCGGCCACGTCCATGAAATCAATCAGCTGAGTCAGCCAACTGTGCTCTGAGTGGCAGGAGTGGTGCTCCAGGATGGCACCACTTATTCCAAAGGACATTTTGATCCTCTTGATGCGCTGCTCCGGTTGTTTCTTGATCTCTGCTACCAACGATAAAACCTCCATTCGTTTTCTGTCCTGCTGCTGATGATCGTTTGGGAAATTATAGATGGTGGGCAGCAGATCCTTGTCTGGCAAATCACTCCAGGCTAGCACCAAATCCTGGAGAGTGTTTCCGCAGTGCAAGGCCTCAATCTCGCCCAACTGGATGCAGAAGAAGCTCCTGTTCGAATCGTTATCCAATCCATTCACTGTAAACAATCGCAGCTCCTTGAGATTCACCTGGAACTTGCCGCACTCCTTGGAGCGTTGATTGGTCTCGGGATCGAGAAAGTGGGAGAACAGGATAAGCGAACCCTGCTCCACAAACAGCTCAAAGGAGAAGGCTTCATTCCGAACTGGTGGCGCCGCAGCAGCAGGAACAGTCGGCTCCGCCATGGAAAAGTAAATGCTGCTCTCCATGGCACTGGTACTGAGGAGAAGGTTCCTCCGGAACTCCTCCAACTGGGGCTCTGAATCCAGGTTCTTTGATTCTCCCCCCTCCTCCTCCAGATTGTTTTCATAGTGCGGGGAACGTGGCTCCCACATGAAAAGATCTCCATTCAGACGGTTGTATATCAGTTCATACATATTCTTGGAATCCAACACAACCTTTACGAGTGGGATAAAGGCAAAGATTTTCAGCTTTGAGGATTGCGTGCAACTATCGCAGAATTCATTGATCTCCTCCGTTTCGCCGGGCAAAAGGGAATCCGTTTTGTCCACACTGCCATCGAGTCCCTCCACATGGGATGTGTAGCCAAAGGTACATTTTGAGCTGAAGGGGGATTTCCTTGGTGGTTTCTTTTGGTTATCACTAGTATCCGTCAGCTGGAGAACATCAATTTGGATTTTCTTGTTCGGCTGCATTCTCTGTTGGCATTTCAGAAGATGCACTGCACTCTGTTTGTCCGCATCACAGTAGAACGCATCCAGTTCATCCGAAACGATGCTGATCTGAGACCTCGAAGTGACTACCAATGATCGAAACTCCAAGGCCAAGAAATCGCGACGCACATTCTTTTGCCACCAGGGAATCTTCTGCGGATCGTTGGCCGCTCTACCATCCACCACTGGGAAACGCAAATGAAGTCGCAGATTCTCGCACTTCACACTAAATTCCGTTTGGCTGGGATCATCTGGATAAGGATGTGAAGGAGCCGAATCCCTGGAGAACGGGGAACTGCCAAAGAGGGCTCCCAAACGATCGTATATAGATATATCCAATTCTGCCGTGCATTCATCCAAACTGCATTCGATTTTGTTGGTGCAACGATTATGGTTTTGCTTGAACATGAACGAGGAGCTCTGGGTAACCACAATTTCCGGTCGGATGTGATAACCATCCGGGCAGTTTCGCTGGCGATCGAACAGCAGCAGGTGCTCCATGGAGTCGTTCAGCACCTCGCAGAGATCCACAGCAGTGGCCGAGAGTGTGGTTCTAGATGTGAGCTCTTGGAAGTAGCGCTGCTGGCTTCCACCAACGATGATTGGGGCTGCGCGGAGCAGGAGATACTGCTGCTGCTGCAGGGGCATGTGATTCTCCAGGACAGTGCCCAAAAAGAAACCACTGGCAGTGTCCGAGTAGCGAAGATAACTGGCGTGATCGAAAACCGTGCTGCAGCTATCGATGTTGGCGGTGTTTTGAATGAGAATATCTTGGTGCAAAGCCACTCCATAAATCTTCGAGATCTGAACCTTAAACTTGAGGATCTCGCCGGATTTCTCCGTGTAGCCCAGCTCCTGCTGCAAAGTATTAGTGCACGAGGTGAGCATGCTGTTTGTGGATTCACTCATTTTTCGACTCCGGGAGTAAACGCTCCTGGGGGGATTTCCATAGCCGGAGTATTCAGAGGGCTCTGGGTCTGACATTCCCGTACACCAATCTGCATTCTGGCCCAGGATTCCCGTCATGCGGGTGGGCTGCTGCTGATTCTGCATATGATACTCGCTGGGAGGAGCCGACTTCAAGCTCCTGCCCTTTTTGGGCCGCTCCTGCTGGCCTCCGCTATTGAATCCCTTGGAGAGCTCGATGAGCAGATGAATTTGACGCGGGGTCAGCATAAAGTATATGTCATCCAGACTTAGTTCCAGACTGACTTTCGGCCCCACTATGTTCTCCGTCTGCTTGATATTGATTTGTATATTCTGCGCACCCTTGAGCTCCACAATCTTGCAGAGCTGCTCGTAGGGAGTGGGTCCAAACTGGTGATCCAACACATCCAGCACCTCAGAGGTGTGCAAACTGAGTCCCTCGATCATCAGATTATGTTTTGCTATCATGGGCAAGGCATTGAAGCTGCTGTTGGGATCTTCTTCGGTTTCAGTGTCCTGGGAAGTGGACATGGGCATCTCGTAGCCCGTTTTGTTCTTGTACTCTACATGGCTGGCCTGGAAGGAGAGCACCAGTTTTCTGTCCGACCTGGGCAGTAGGTACTCTATATTTAAAGTAGTATTCGTTAGCTTGGCCCGAATGCGATTGAGGACATTGTCGATGGTTTCGGCGAACTTCTCCAGGCCAATCAGGGCGTTATTGTGGTTTAGAAAGGGCACATCGTCGTCCACCTGCTTCATGCATTCCTCTGCCATTTGCATGGAACTGCTAACCGAGGACCACATGGACTCCAGCATGGTGGTGCCGCTCTGGTAGCGAGTAACTGGCCTCAAAGTGATGGTTAAATTGGAGATCTCCAAGCTGCTGTCGTTGGTCATCAGGGCATTCCAGGGCACGACGACCGTCAGGCAGCCAATGTGACCCGAAACCACCTCGAAGGCCCAGCCCTGATCTTCGAAGAGATCATTGAAGGCGTTGACCTTCAGGAATATATCTTCCACCACCGCCTTGCCATTGTAAAGATCCACTTTCAGCTGCTCCAAGTTTAAGTTATTCTCGAAAAACTGGCCCAAATATCGCTGCAGCAGGTAGCGACACATCTTCGTTTTGAGGCCATCCCAGGGATTAAACCACGACATCTTGCCTGGGTTTTTCCCTCAGCCAAATTTTCCACGTTTTCACCGATCTTTCTTTTGTGCGTTTTAAATTTTTCGTGGTGATATTTTTTCCAGCGCAGCAGCAGCAACAACAACTGTGACAGACCTTTGTTATTGTTTTCTGGTGTCGAAACAAGGAAACGGAAGAGAATTGGTTCGTAAATCAGCGATAAGAGTCTGTAAAAATCGCTTACCACTCACATTTTATGATTGGCGGGGGCGGAGGGCGGCTGTGGGCGGGTATATATGTGCATTATTTTGGAAAATAATGAATTAATAAAGCGCAGTTAGCGAGTGACCATCAAAGTTGGCCCTTGTTCTTCTTCTTTTTGTTGCTGTGGTTAGTGTGACCAGGAGAGTGGTAGTCGAAAATGACCGATTGCCTAGGGCTCTGCGGGGGAGGGCCAAAAAAGGTGGTTTGAAAATGGCTAATAATTAATTTATATTTACTTAAAAGAAATGAAATGTATTACTGCTTCGGAGTATAGGAGCACACAAACTATATTTAAAGCACTTTTCGACTAACTTCTAAAAAGCCAGGCTTTGGCCAGTGCTGGGGAACACACCCTAACAGCTGTTTGTTTATTATTGTTTATTTGTCTTGAGTTTTTTTACATATTTTGAAGGTTACATTTCAACTAACCTTAGCTAAATCCTGGAATTAAATATCTTTTCCAAAAAATATTGAATATGTTCCCTCAAATTTTAATTAGTTGAAAATATTTTTAAAAAATATCAAGAATAAGTAATTTACTTATTAATACTTTTGTATTATTTACAAGATTATATTATTAGATTATTTAATTCATATTAATTATGTATCAGAACATGACTCAAGTCACGTACCCATTGGTATAGTAAAATTAAAAAACAAACCACCTGTTGATACCCTGCAATAAGTCATACTTTGCCCAGTGTTGAAAAACACAGCTTCACACCAGCTGTTTGTTTGCTAAGTTCTTAATTATTATTATTTTCCTCTTTAGTTTTTCTTTTGTTTGCATTAATTATGTTCCTTTGGCATTATTTGAGCCTTTTGTGCCTTGGTTTCGCCGCAAACGAGGCGAAATCCATCAAAAAGTCGCATGTTAGTCTGTTGGAGCCGACATTTGATCTGGACGAGAGACTGGGAAAGATGGGGATGTCCCCACCCGACATTTCCAATGATGTGCAACGTGTGCAGGTCCCATCGAGTGATGCACCTGGAAAAGATGACTGGAAGGGCAAGTGGTTCCCCCATGCCCCGGGAGATCCGGAGGATAAGAAGCAGTCTGTGGAAAAGACGACCACGGAGGCAGTTACTCTACTGGATTCCACAACAAAGGATAGTTGGCAGGGCAAGTGGTTTCCCCAAGCCCCTGGGGAACCGCACCTGATCAAGATGTCCCCTCAGGACAGGAACAAGTCGGATGAGTCCACATTGAAGGGCAAGGTGATTCCGTCCACGACCGAAAAACCCCATGTGATACGGAAGAAACCGCTGGACGGAAAGAACACGGAGGAAACTGAGGAGAAAAGTACCACGGAGGACGTAAAGATACAGGATAATTGGCAGGGAAAGTGGTTTCCTCAGGGTCCCAACGAACCACACAAATATAAACCATTCATTTGCGATGATGGCAAGGTGAGTTTTCTATCCGGATAAAGGGGAATTCCCATGTCTTGTAAAAGCGTGATCTAAAATTGGACTTATGGAGTCCATAACTTTTCCAAATTTAAGCCTATTCCAAAGTGGCATACCTCTAAAGACTTGTGGTTTGATTCTCTAAAAATCTGCATTCAAAATTTGCATTTTAACGTTGGTCCAATTTTTGACCCGTTTTCATGTCATTTATTTCCAAGTTTCCGATGTGTTGTTAAAAGGTGACCCACAACTGGACTTCTGGAGTCCATAACTTTACCAAATTTTATCCGATTTGAAAGTGGCATATCTCGTAAGACTCGTAATTTGATTCTCAAAAAATCTCCATTCAAATTTTTAATTTTAACGTTGGTCCAATTTTTGACCCATTTTCATGTCATTTATTTCCAAGTTTCTGATGTGTTGTTAGAAGGTGACCCTTAACTGGACTTCCGGAGTCCATAACTTTACCAAATTTTATCCGATTTGAAAGTGGCATATCTCGTAAGACTCGTAATTTGATTCTCAAAAAAACTGCATTCAAAATTTTAATTTTAACGTTGGTCCAATTTTTGACCCATTTTCATGTCATTTATTTCCAAGTTTCCGATGTGTTGTTAAAAGGTGACCCTTAACTGGACTTCCGGAGTCCATAACTTTACCAAATTTTATCCGATTTGAAAGTGGCATATCTCGTAAGACTCGTAATTTGATTCTCAAAAAAACTGCATTCAAAATTTTCATTTTAACATTGGTCCAATTTTTGACCCATTTTCATATCATTTATTTCCAAGTTTCCGATGTGTTGTTAAAACGTGACCCACAACTGGACTTTCGGAGTCCATAACTTTACCAAATTTAAGCCGATCCCAAAGTGACATACCTCTAACGACTTGTGATTCGACACTCTAAAAATCTGCATTCACATTTTTCAATTTAACGTTGATCAAATTTTTGACTTATTTTTATGTTAGTTACTTTTTAAAAACAAAAAAATCTGCTGTAAAATCTTTTTAAATGCTGATCTTGCTTAAAATCACACTGTGTATATACATAAAACAAACTTTTAATCCCGCAGCTACTGATAAGTACTTGAAGTATTTAATATTGCTATTTTTGTAAATACATTGAATGACTTATTTTGTTTGTATTGTTTTTTTCAGAGCAACCTTGCCGTGGATTTCGATCCAAATGACATCCGTGATAGCCTGAATTACCTGTGCATCAGCAGCAATCGCAGTGTGTACCAGCCGAACTTGACCAGAGAAGCCATCCTCACGGAGCACTTCCTGCCCAGCGCCTATTTGCCACCAGCCAAGTGCCTGAGTGAAAATATTAGTTATTCCCACCTGCCAGTCACCAAGTAATGCCAATGATATTACTCTTTCCTGACCACTTTTAAACCAAATCCATAATTTTAGTGGTCCATATCGTCCATTGCCTGCTGAATATGGATCCTATTCCTACCTGCCACCCCAGCGATACCTTCGTAACCTGGCAGAAGGTGCCATAGTGATGCTCTATCATCCCTGCGCTTTTCCAAGCCAAGTGAAGCAACTGCAGGACATCCTGGGCGGCTGCCTGTATCGCCATTTGATCTCACCCTCGCAGGCCCTCAATCCGGAGCGTCCTCTGGCCCTGCTCGCCTGGAGCCGCAGCCTGGAGATGTCCGTCGTGGACCAGCGATTGGCGGTGGACTTCATCCAGAAACACGCCAAGCAGGGACCACTTGCTCCGGAGGAACTGTCGCGGGTGGTGGAAAAAAGGGAAACCTACAAGGAGGGACTACTCACGGAGGCCCACTTGGTTACCACGGCGGATGACTACGAGCTGTGCGGTTACCTGCAGGAGGGAATGTAGGGAGAACATGTTGACTATTTGTTTTAAATACAATTCGAATAATTTGCCAATTATGTTCATTTTTATCTGCGTTCTGTGATAGTTAAAGTTTTCATTTATAAATTCCCAAAGTATTTATTTTTATTCATGATCCGAACGCAAACGGTCAAGATTTTTTTTCTTTACGAATTCTTGCTCATTACCGTATTAATAAGTTTAAAAATTATATTTATTGTTAAAATGGGATTTAAAAAGTTGTCAGTTATTTAGTGTGAACGCAAGACACAAATGAAACGACTGCCGGCGCATATGAAGAGGCCATAAATAGCACTAACGCCTTCTGCTTTTTGGTATTTTCGCATTTCTTGCTTACTGTCCTCGGTTTCGGTTTAGTTCTCTTTCTCTGGATAATAAATAATAGTTAATAAACGATCGCCAAACGATCCCCCACTTGGTCGCCACACAAACAACGTCGCCCGAAAAAACCGACGGCTATATATAATTTCCACCCCGCCCTCCGGAAAAGCCCAGGAATCCCCGGATTCAAAGTGCGTAGCCCCCCCAAGAAGTAGAAGAAGAGGAAGAACAACAACAACAACAGAGGAGAGGTGAAACAAAGGAGACGCAAACTAAAAACAATTAAATTGGCAATTTGTGGGCGACCTAACGTCGATTTATCACGTGATTGTCTGGTTAGTATAATCCCCGATCCAAGTATAAAGTGATTTGAAGTTTATCCTGAATTTCAGGCTTTACATAACATCCAAGGCGGTCGTTCTGAAGGAGGAGCCGTGAAGGATTAGGAAGTGGAAAACTAGTAGCTGGAGAAAGAGGACCACAAATTGGAGTTATAGAACAGCTGGAGAAACCAAGACAGCTAGAAACTTGACAGGAGAAGCAGACAAAGAGCTTTAAAGGATCAGGGAAGCAGCACCAAAAGAACCTTAAGAAAACCCCGAAACGAACCCCCGAACTTCCACCATGAACAACCTGGCAGACACTGTAGTAGTTGATCCTGGATTCGGAGGCGGTGACAAGCAGGCGCAGGCAGGACCGGCGCCGCAGGATGCCAGTGTGGTGGTGCCCCCACCCGCGACCAAGCAATCCTCGGCCCTGAAGAAGACCAGTCGGTACAGGAGCCGCTCGCTTAGTGCCTCCTCCACGGATTCCTTCAGTTCGGCCAGCTATACGGGCAGCAGCGAAGATGGCGATGATGTGCCGCCAAGGGAGAAGGTGCAGAAGAACTCCAAAGGCAGCTCCGATTTCTGTGTGAGGAACATTGCCGCCCAGCATGCTTTTGGTCGAAGGGAGATTGAGATTGCGGAGCAGGAGATGCCGGGCATTATTGCGCTGAAAAAGCGGGCCGCCGAGGACAAGCCGCTGAAGGATGCCAAGATCGTGGGATGCACACACATCAACGCCCAGACGGCGGTGCTCATCGAAACACTGGTGGAATTGGGCGCAAGTGTGCGCTGGGCCGCCTGCAACATCTACTCCACGCAGGTAAGTCCGGGCCTATGAAACACCAACCACCACCCGCCACATCATTCATTTATTTATTTACAACCATATGTCGTATACAAAATAGGAAAAATATTACAGATAAACGACAGATATTTATGGACTTTTAACGAGTTTTTAAAATGTTTTACTACAACGGAACAACTTGTTATACCCTTGCAGAGGGTATTATAATTTTGGTCAAAAGTGTGCAACGCAGTGAAGGAGACATCTCCGACCCTATAAAGTATATATATTCTTGATCAGGATCACCTCCTGAGTTGATATAGCCATGTCCGTCTGTCCGTCTGTCCGTCTGTCCGTCTGTCTGTCCGTCTGTCTGTCCGTCTGTCTGTTTCTACGCGAACTAGTCTCTCAGTTTTAAAGATATCGAATTGAAACTTTGCACACACCCTTCTTTCCTTTGCACGCAGTATATAAGTCGGAACGGCCGGGATCGGCCGACTATATCCTATAGCTGCCATATAACTGATTGATCGGAAATGCCATAACTCTGCTGTTTGTTAAGTTAGGAAATTGAAATTTTATATGGGTTTTATATTTGGCCAATCAATCCGACCTACCAAATTTCATAAAGATCGGCCGACTATATCCTATAGCTGCCATATAACTGATTGATCGGAAATGCCATAACTTTGGTGTTTGTGAAGTTAGGAAGTTGGGATTTTCTATGGGTGTTATATTTGGCCTATCAATCCGAACTACCAAATTTCATAAGGATCGGCCGACTATATCCTATAGCCACCATATAACTGATTGATCGGAAATGCCACAACTTTGGTTTTTGTTAAGTTAGGAAGTTGGGATTTTCTATGGGTTCTATTTTTAACCAATCAATCCAACCTATCAAATTTCATAAGGATCGGCCGACTATATCCTATAGCTGCCATATAACTGAACGATTGGAAATGCCATAACTTTGGTGTTTTTAAAGTTAGGAAGTTGGGATTTTTTATGAGTATTAAGATTGCATCATATGAATAATTTTGGAGAATATAATTTACAGAATATTCTGCAAGGGTATATCAACTTCGGCTCCGCCCGAAGTTAGCTTTTCTTTCTTGTTTTTAGTAGTCATAGTTAAGTTTTCGTTTTACAGAAATGATTATATTTAATATTGAATGTTTTTTAAATGGTAAAGATTTAAAGTTGCAGATTGTATTCCTAAGTTATATTAATATTTTCCAGTACTTTGCTGAAACTAACAATTTAAAAGAATAGGTAATGCATACATTTATGCAACATCGCACCAAACTTAAAGTCACATTTTATAAAGTGCTAAATCAAATTTCCCTGAATTTATATCTAAACACATTTTATTATATTTATTTAAATACACATTTATATTCGAGTTTGGTCACTTGATCTGGCTGGTCGCTTGGAGACAATTGTTGTCACGCCAGGCGGCGCAAACAAATGATCAATCAAGCCATGTTAATCAATTAAGCGCCCGCGGCTCAAGTGTTTGGCAATCGCTGAGTAATTGATGTGCCCTGAATTGGGTCGCCACATCATTGGTGGAGTGGAAGTTGTAGACGCAGTAGTTCCATTTGCAGCCTCGTCTGCGGTTTCTCGATCTGTTTGCCCAGTCCTGCGGCGTGGCTGATGCAATTATCACGAGTGTGCGGACTATAAACAATTTATGGGATCTCTAATGAAGCGGTCCGAGTGCGAGGGCACACCCCCTGCTCATTTATGCACCCACCCGTCCGTCGAAACTTTTATCGCCTTCGAGTTCCCGACAGCCTGTCACGCTGAATCACCTGTATCACCTGGGGCTTATCAGCCGAGCTCCGAGTGCTGTGCTTAGCGAGGGTGCAGCCCGATATAAGTCAGATATTACCAAATGTTTACACCGCATTAGGGGGACTCGATTTATCAGACAAACAGTCTTTTCGGAATTCCTTGGGGGTATTTACTTCATGGCAATAGTTGTAATAACACGAAATATACTTTTTTACTCCATCATGGAATACATTATCTTTTTAAAATTGATGGGGCAGTCACAATAATCCATGCTTACATATTATATTCGTGTTTAAAACAACACCATTTATCATACCATGTACCCTGTTATTCTTACTATTACTTAAACTTGTACTTAACTTGAAATTTTTGTTGGATCTCATAGCCAGACTATGCTACTTCTATCTATTAAAATAGAAGTGTGTTATAATTTCTATAAATTATTTAATAATTTTTAGTAAGAAACTATACATTTTCAGCAACCTAATTTTTAATTTTACAACTTATACACACGTGATAATACTTTTTGTTATATCGCTTTATAAAATTGTAATAAATTTTAACATAGTTTAATAATAGTACTAATGTTAATTGTGACCTCAGTCGAAATGATAAGAGAAAAACAAACTTTTTTATTAACTTGAAAAGGTCTTGAAAATGATAAATCAACTTTTGGCCGTTGATTAGTTAGTAAAACAATTACCAAAACGAAAAGGTATTATCGTAAAGTGAGAAAAAAAGAACTTCAGGCTTTGTTTAATGATTATAATCATTAAACATATTAAAGGCATATTAAGCTAAAACCAACTAATATTTCCCTCATTTTTTAGAACGAAGTTGCCGCTGCTTTGGCCGAATCTGGAATCCCGATCTTCGCCTGGCGCGGCGAGACGGAAGAGGACTTCTGGTGGTGCATCGATCGCTGCGTAAACGCCGAGAACTGGCAGCCCAACATGATCCTGGACGATGGCGGCGATGCCACGCACCTGATGCTAAAGAAGTACCCGACCATGTTCAAGTTGGTCAAGGGAATCGTGGAGGAGAGCGTCACCGGGGTGCACAGACTCTATCAGCTCTCCAAAGCCGGCAAGCTGACGGTGCCGGCGATGAATGTGAACGACTCGGTGACCAAGACCAAGTTCGACAACCTGTACAGCTGCAAGGAGTCGATCCTGGATAGTCTCAAGCGCTCCACGGATGTGATGTTCGGCGGAAAGCAGGTGGTCGTCTGTGGCTACGGTGATGTGGGCAAGGGCTGTGCTCAGGCACTCAAAGGACAGGTGAGCGCTGATTAAATCCACAAACATAGAGCCTCTATTAACCTACTCAATTATTTTTTACAGGGCTGCATTGTTTACATCACGGAGATCGATCCCATTTGCGCCCTGCAGGCCAGCATGGATGGCTTCCGCGTGGTGAAGCTGAACGAAGTGATCCGTAACGTGGACATCGTGGTGACGGCGACGGGCAACAAGAACGTGGTGGTGCGCGAGCACATGGACAAGATGAAGAGCGGGTGCATTGTGTGCAACATGGGTCACTCAAACACGGAGATCGATGTGAATGGACTGCGCACACCGGATTTGACCTGGGAGAAGGTGCGTTCGCAGGTGGACCACATCATCTGGCCGGAGGGCAAGTACATCATACTGCTGGCCGAGGGCAGGCTGGTGAATCTCTCGTGCTCCAGCATTCCCTCGTTCGCCGTGTCGATCACCTCGGCCACCCAGGCGCTGGCTCTAATCGAGCTTTTCAATGCCCCGCCCGGACGCTACAAGACGGATGTCTACTTGCTGCCCAAGAAGATGGACGAGTATGTGGCTAGCCTGCACCTGCCCACCTTCGATGCTCACCTCACGGAGCTGAGCGACGAGCAGGCCAAGTACATGGGGCTCAACAAGGCCGGTCCTTTCAAGCCCAACTACTACCGCTACTAAAAAGAGGTCGAGGGCAGCGATCTGCGGACAATAACACCAGCAATTAGGAGTAACAACAACGCCAACGAAAGTATTGTCTTTGCGAAGAAGTAAAACTATTTAAAACAATTGTTGACACACACACAGAACACACAAAAGGATACGGAAAGGAGAACACAAAGTTACTATTACCATTGTATTGCTTAGTTTAGCTCGAGCGGAATTATTGGTTGCTTTTCGTTAGCATTTAACGTCTTCGATATAGTATTTAGCACTCGATTTAGCCGCAGGAGTATTCTCTCTGTTTACTAATCCCCCATGACTCTCTAAACCCTAAACTAATCTTGCCCCTAAGAATTTATCCCCTTGAAATGTTTTTATTGCCGATCACTTGAATTTATTTTAGATATTCGATTGCTTTTTGACTAGGTTATCATAATTCAAAAGATGTCGATTTTATACAAATTTGGAAAAGTTTCATCAACAAATATTAATTCCAAATAGCTAAAGCTTCAAATCGAAATAATAAGCAATGTTAAATGAAAATCCCTTTTTCGAATTATGAAATCTACAATAATAAGTGATCGATTTAACCTCTCGTATTGTTTACGTACTTAATTTGTTAATCGTTTATGCCCCGCTTTTGATTATGGCACATTTGTACTTTCGTTTCGTCCGGAGAGTGTTGATTGAAATGCAGTGCAAAGTAATTCCATTTATTCAATTATATACACGCTGGCATATATTTCAGATCGAGAATTATATATATACACTGCATATACACCTAATATGTATATTAGAGAAAAGTGAAAAATGTTTGTAAGAAATTTGTGAGAAACGCAAAACAATAAAAAAAAGGATTCTTTATTGAGCAATAAGCTCTGTTCGTTCGATTGATTGATTTTCCCCCACTTTCAACCCAAAAAAAAGTCGCCATTCAGATGCATCACTCGTCTATTTCTCTTTTTATTACTCGATACATTGCCTTAAACTTGTTTTTCTTTGATACTTTATAAAATGTAAACTACACGAGTTTGTTATAAAAAAATCATACACTTTATGTATTACAGTTTTCTTTTATATAATTTCTCCGTTCATCTTACGCTTCTCGTCTGAACTTTTCCTTAAAATGCCGTAAAGTGCATATCAAACCCGTCCTAATTAGGTTAATGCTAAACACATGCGTCAACTAAATCTTAATCAAAGGTTGTGTGGAACAAACAAATCCAAGCGGAGCCGAAAGTTACAGTGGGTTAGGTAAACCAGGCTGGCTGTGAGGCTGCGTACATATATGGTTGCATCTGGAGAGGATCGGCGGGCGGCGCGAACTTAGTCGAGGAAGTGCGGCTTGAGGTGCTTGAGCATGCCAAAGGTGCGGAATCGGCGGATCTTCATCACCTTCATCAGCTCATCGTCGCAGATGGCGAACTGCTTGTTCTTGGGATCGTACAGGTCGCGCTCCTTGATGATGGCCCACACCTTCTTGACCACTTCGTGGCGGGGTAGCGAGGATTCGCCCATGAGGGCGCTCAGTTCGGGTGAGAGATTGTAGGCCCTTGTGAAGCCGGTGCTCTTGCGTCCGGACCCGGACCCTGCTCCTCCGGCAGCCTTGCCCTTCTTCTTGGCGGCGGGTTTCTTTACCACCTCATAGTCCGAATCCGATCCTGCATCGCTCTCGGTCCCGGAATCATCTGCGTTCAGGGTCTTGCGCTTCTTCTTGGGCGCCTTGTGCTTGGTGGGTTGTGGCCTCTTCTTGGGACCCGGCTTCTTCTTCTTTTGGGCCTCCTCCTCGCTGCTGCTGGGGTCCTCCTCCTCGCTGGGCTCGCTCTCATCATCGGGCTCCGCATCCGGGTCCTTGCCCTCGTCATCGTCCTCATCCTCCTCGTCCTGCTGCTCGTTGATCACCTCCATCACGATCTTGTCGAACTCCTTTTTGCGGCTCAGCAAGGAGCAGTTGAGCTTCCCCTCCACCTGCTCGCGCACCCTCTTCGCGGAAATGGTGGCCAAATCTGCGTCCTTCAGAACGGCCTGTATTTCGCGACGCAGGTCCTCGCTTGAGATGTCCGACATCTTGTTCGTGGTATTCCTCGTTTTCCTGCGGGACACGTATTACTGTGGAGGCGGTAAGGGTTAGTTTCGTTGTGCCCGCCTGGAATTGGATGTGCTGGGACATGCTTACCTGCAACTCACTTTTCGGGGGTCTTTTCACGTTTTTCGAAATATTTTACGGCTACACAAATTCTTCCGTTTTTTCTTTACACCGGCGTCTCTATAGGGTTGCAACTTGATGACCGCACTTATCGGTATCGAAAGAAGAAAATCCCTCTATCGGACAGTGCTGACGGGGCTCTAGCCAAATGTGGCTAGACGACAGGTGCATACAAATCTAGCTATATTGAAGCTAAATTAATTTTTCTAAAAAATGCCCATTTCTAATAGCCTAAGATTATATTAGTTATAATTATACGTTGCTCTCAGCTAAACCCTTTTAAAAATGTTGTGTTAATTACATTTTTTAAGATATAATTACGGGTTCGGGTGTCAGCTAAGGACTTATTTAAGCTCGCAACCATTTTTGAGGCATATTTGCAGAGCATTTCAGTATTTTTGGTAGAGCAACATGGGATATTTCCACTGTCGTGCTGCGGCCACACTGGTACCACAAGAACGTCGCGTATTTGTTAAAAAACTACAACTAAATAATATTTAACAACCGTTTAAAGTTTTCCTCGCGTTTCTAAACGTATCTCCGATACGCGAAAAGTTATTGTCTTTGTCGGTTGCCGTTTACGTGTCGTGAAAAACAGTGCAATTGCAGCAGCTGCAGCAACAATAACAATATATAAAATATACCAGCAACAACTACACTACACACACACAACAACAACAACGTGCGCTGAGGTAATTTTGCTATTTTTTAATGCTTTATTTTATGTTTATTTATATAGTTGTGCGTGTGTGAGAGTGATGTGCGTTAGCTTCCCATCTAAATTTGATTTTTGCTGCAACTTTTCATGTAGTCCCCCTTTATTTAATTGCATTTATGTATATGTATCTATTCCGCTGTTTAAACCCCCTTTTTGCGTGAGATTCGCAAAGTTTTGGCGTTCTCTTTTGGGCTCCCCTTCTTCGCTTTTCGCTTCTCCGCTTTTTGCCGCTGCTTCGCGTCTTTGTTTTGCCGGCGTTTCGATGACGTTTTTGTTGTCTTCTTTTGTTCGAATTTACGACGCCCTTTTTCCAATTGGAACTTTGGGATCTCCGGAATAAAAAATGTTTTTTTTATTAAAAATAGATACATATACATACATTACTTAAGAATTGTGTTTGCCACTATATTTCTTGATTTACTTAGAAGAACTAAAGTAAGGCTTAGTTAAGGTAAACAAATATATAAAAAACTACGTTGTTATAAGATTCGAGTAAAAATCAGACTGTCATTAGTTTTAAGTTATTGTACACCTTTAAATAAACAATAAAATAAAAATAATCCACATTCTGAACATAGTAAAATGTCGCAGGAAAGAGAATTCCACCAGTTTTTCATGGAATGGAATGCATTAGAGTTTGATTGCATTGTCCCCCAATAAGAATATACCTCTCCCCCTGTCTTATTAGATAGCTAACCCATGTGGGCGGTGGTTGAGGTGTCTATTAATCACGTTTTATTGCTTCGTAATTTTCAAATAAAAACGGCAGAAATTACAAGGCGTTATTTCCAATAGTTCTTTTGTATCGACACAAAGTATGCTGGGCTATTTAAATCCCAAACTGATAAGGAACAATAACAACTTATTTCTAGATAAGAAACTGTGTATTTATCACATATATTTTGACTTTTAAGTTTGTTTTTCCTTTTCCCAAATGAACTCTTAACAATTCAAAAAAATTACACAATTCCCTAAGGAATGGGCTCGTTTTAAAAAAAAAAAACGTTCCTTAAAAAATGTTCAGGACAGAGTAAACAATATTCGACTATTTCTTAAATTTTCTTTACAGAAATCGGTGTGTATTTTGTAACATTATTAGCCGATTTAAATATTTATTTATTGCAGCGGCTGTGCTCTGCGTTGTCAGGCATTCATTTCTTATTTTTTGTTTGCCTTTTTATTTATTTTGTGGCTTGATGTCGCCTCACAGTGACTGCTAAAAGTATACACCCTCTACCTGTTGCTACGCGCCACCCACATAAGTGAAAGTATACTTTTCGTTGGAAGTGTTTCAGACAAATTTAATATTTCATCGTTTTTGTTTTTTTCAAACCAATTAGATGTTCTTGGCATAGTTTTTTCTTATTTTGACCGATCTAACATTGCTCATTTAAGTAATCACATAAATTATCACAGATTATGAAATCAGCCGATGAAATTGGTTGTGTGTTTCTTAAGATTTTAGATATTAAATTATACTCCTTGGGGAAAGGGGATTAATTGATGATAAGGAGATTAGATGGGGGTACATTTTTATAAATTTAGCTTAAGAACATTCAAGGTATTAATTTATTAAGCAAAAACCTTTTTAAGGGCTTTATAGGGTGCTCAATTTATTTGGTTTTCTATAGTTACGGGAATGTTTATTAATTCAATTTATTTTATTGTTATATTTTATACATCTATATTTTCACACTATAAATTATTTTAATTCTTTATTAAAGAATGAAGATATTCTGAGATTTCCCGCTGTCTTCGGGCTTTGTTTGTTTATAGCTGTTTTAAAACTAAACGCTCGCATTGCCGTTTCGTCATTATGAAACGACGTCAAAGTAAAAGCACCAAGAACTTTCGCACGGTAAAGATGTTTTTCAATTTTCCGCCGCTGCTGCTGCCCCGAAAAAAGAAAGAAAAACTTTTCTCGCCCACGCCGAAAATTCTGACGCGCTCGATTTGTGTTTGTCTTGGTGCCTTGTTCCCATATTTTTTATGCTACCCGCTTTATAATTTATGCATAAAAAAATCAAAAAAATAAATAAGCAATGCCTGCATTAAGACGATCGGGAGTGGAATGGATTTTCGCAGCATTTCAGCCGGAAAGTGAGGGAGCAGGGGGTGATTATGGGTGCACAGTGGGCCATAAAAGTCGGCCCACTCATAACTCATAGGCCAAACTATTTTTCTGTGACCCTGGACGAGGTGCTTGACAGTGGCAACAATTAAATTCGGGTTGGAAGTGCACATATCTTTTTATGTTTCTAGCATCTGTGCACTATAAATTTGTGCGAACGCCGGAATTCGCAAGTAAATTCCCTTTTTTTCGGTGCATTTGTTTGGCCCTGACATTGCACTTGCTGCATGGAAAATGGAAAATTGTGCGAACGCAGCTAATGGAAAATGCAAATGGGCGATATTTTCCCATGAAAAATGGTTCACTTTGTTTATGACAATTTCTAAATCGAAGACTGCACAAAAGGCCAAAAAAAGAATTGGAGAATCCAAAGCAAACAAGATTTAGCCAGAGGTACAGTGCGTAACAAATAATATAAAATTCATTTTTTGGAAAGAAGAAACACACTTCTCATCAGTACAGAAAAATTGTGATTTATGGTATCTTACTAAATATAATAATGAAAATGTTTAAATTAATTACAAATTCTTTTTATATGGATTATGATTGTTTTATAATATTTAATTGTATACATGTACGGGTTTATGTATATAGGAACTATGTAATATGTAAGATCTATCTGAGGTTTACTGTGAACAGTGATTCGACTTGACTAAAGGCATCATAAAGAACACGCCCACAACCATGACACAATCGAAGATGATGCCTGGTAATATGCCGCCCATTTGCCCGATTTTTCCCTGGCGGCCTGAAAAGTTTTGACGTTTGCGCCCGATTTGGCTATAAATTTGAAAAAATATTTTCTACAAAATTCTGCAGTCGCACAAAGCAAATATGTTGTGTCGCTAAATCAAAACGAAGAACAACAAAAGTCAGAGCTGAGTCAATTTTCTTATTTTTAGTTGCTGCTTTTGGTATGTGCTTTTATTTTATTCTTTTAAATGTACATTTCTATTTGCGAATAATAAAAAAAATATATATTTGTGCTAAATTTAACCCAATTAGTTGTCGGCGTTCTAAATTTATATTTGCAATTTACTTTGATTTTCCTTTGCCAGCATTCTTCGGCCGCAAATCAATCGAAAAGCAAACTCAAGGGGGATACTGAAATCGGGGATTAGTCATGCAGGTGTTTTTCTCTATGTCTTACGGCCCCCCACAATCGACATCGAATCAATTCACAGTTCGGTTTGTGTTTAGAAATTCTACGACCATCATAAATTATATTTTATATCTTGAATCGATTCCCCAAACGTCCAATTGCCCAATTTGCGAATTTGTTTATTGGCAAAAAATTATGCTGCGATCCGGGCGAAAGTTATTTCAGAGACGTTGCTTTTCAAGGTCGTTGGATTGTTTGCAAAGGATTTTTGCAGTTAAGATCTCTGCTTTGGATGTTGGCCAAATAATAAATATTATTTTTTTTTTTCGCTTTTTTCATTTGGCATATCTTATTTTTGCTCCTTGTGATATGTGGGTAGGGAAAATAAAAGAAAAGGTGTCGGGGACTGGAAATATCAAATGGGGAAATATATTTTAGGAAGTCAGTCATAAATAAAAAACATACAGAGTGCTTAGGCTATATTTATTTGGGAATTTCGATAGCTTTTGGATGCGTTGAACTTTAAGAGGTTTCAGTTTGTGTGACAATTTTTTATTATATTTTTTATTAACCTTTCTTTACTAAATGATTTGTCTTATACCATGGAGATTATGAGATTGTTGTACTGAATAGGCTTTAGGGATGCGCATATGTCATATGTAAATAAAGTATAATTATAAAAAAGGTTAAGTGTGTTTTTATGAGAAATAAATAAAGAAATGTATATGTATCAATTTGTAAATGTATTCCTTCTCATATGTTCAGCTATGTTTGAAAATGAACAAAAATTAAGATAATTAAATATGGGCTTATCATGTTCAGAATGGTTAATAAGTTCCTATTTATTATAAATTATGCTAGCCATCATTTAAAATACTCTTAATTGCTAACTTATGACAGCCAAGGTTTCTTTTTTAATCTTCTTCAACCTTTGAGAGGCCTTCGCAGATTTCCTCGTAACTGAACCCACTCAAAAAAGATTAGACTAAGTGCAGGCGGATGCCTTGACCCAGAAACCCACTTTGAAACGAAACCCAAACGATCGTAAGATCCCAAATACCTCACGAGATGGGCAACTCTCCTTGGTGTAGGGTGCTCGGTAAAATAGACCGAAAACTTTTCAGAAAACTTTTCGAAATTAAGAGCCGTGCGCCGATCGTCTTCGAACTCTCCGGCGAGAGGATTTTGAGTTCTATTTTCGAAAGAAACGTTTTCGAAACACGGAGAGTGAAAGAGCGCGGGCATTTAGTCGGTTGTTGTTCGTGTAGGAAATGTGAAAGTTCATTGTTTCATTGAGGAAAAATGGTGAAAAAGTCAAATTATCTAACAGTGGCGAGATGCTGCGCGCGGATGGCCGAAAATTTCGAATTCGGAATTCGAAATGGGAGCAGATCGGCGTGCGCCCGGAATATCTACACTCAGTGGTCTCTGCGGAGGTTTCACGTTAAAACGTCTCTCGAACGAAACACACGACGAGATTTCCACGGAAAAGCGCAATGTGAAAGCCAAAAAAGACTAGAAATAGCCTGGCGTGACGTCCCACACAGACGACAGACAGCAGAACGATTAGCACCGCACCGTCAGTAGCGGACTATAGCGAACCGAGAGAGGATCTAACGCCCCGATCTAACCGATCCGATCCGATCCTAACTAACTGATCTTGAAGTGTTTAGCCTAAGAAGTGTTACGAAAATGCCAACATTCCATTGCTGAAATCGGAAGGAAAATACCGAGAGAACATAGATTCCTGGGCAGCAGGTGGTTGTCTCCCGCGAGTGTCTCAAGTGCCTAAAACAAGGATGTGTTTTTAATCAAAAAAGAATCCCTCGACGGCGAACACCGAGCTGCGTTATCCGAGTTAAAAGTCGAGGAGGACTGCACCACCGGGTGGTTTTAGTGGTTCGCGGGGACCATGCCGGTCATTGCCGATGCCGCCAGCGATGAGCCACCAGCAAAATGTTGCAAACATTGTGAGGGTATGCCTAGATCTTACATCCAACCTATCCAACCTATCCACCTATATATCCACCTACTGTATAAACAATGGCAGGAAAAGTGCAGCGGGTTCGTTAACCGATTCGCCGCTATTGTTGGCTATTAACTTCGGCCCAAAATCCAAACACAATTGAAAGATTTATGCTTAATTTCTTCCCTCCCCCACCGTGTGCCCCCTATGTTTTTTCCCCCGCCACTTGACTGACATTAACTTTGCTCTCCATTTGTTTGTTTTAATTTTTGTTGCTCTTTGGCCAGGGGCAGCAATTGCTGGGCACTTAGTTTTTCCTGCTACCAAAAAAAAAAAAAAAATGAAGAAAAATGGAACAGAAGAAAAACCGCTGACGCGTCTACTTAAAATTGTTTGGTAGTGGAAATTCATGACAGCTAACGCCACTGGCTGCAAAATAGGCCTCGAGATTAGCTAGGGAAAAATGGATTTTCGCCGGGATTTTGACAACATTATAATTTTGACCGGAAATGTCAAAATATTATGCACAGGAAACTAATTTAATTTCAAAGAGGATTTTCATGTTAATGTTTTTTTTTTTGAATTTAATGAAATGAGCCATAAACACTTCCTTTGATTGCATTTCATACAATATCTGTTTTATAAATTACGGTTAGCATTAAATGCAACTCATTTATACATTCTAGTTTAATTAAAGATTTGTTTAATTTGTAAACATAGTTTCTGACGATAGGCTATAAACATTTATAAAGTCTATGCTAAGAAAATGGGGATCGATTTAAATAGTTTTAAAAATGTATTTTCAATTCGAATTGAATATAAATTTTGTTTTCTATATTTACGTGAATTTTATAATTCGTAAGCCGCAATTAAAGTTCCATTGTCTTTATTGGAAGATCAGAAATTTTCATTTTTAAACTTTATGTAAATTTACTTGAATATTTGCTTCCTTTTATACAGTCTTATTACAATATTGACATAATATGTGTATGAGCATCGAATAAATAATTAACGTAACGATTTCAAAAATCTGTCTTTACTTTGGTTAAGATATGAAAAAATGTTAAAAAATAAATTTTGACCTGAAGTTTGCCTTGTATATGGTGTTATCGTTAACTTGTGATAAGTCTTTGGATAAGATGAAATATTTATAAAAACGCTGGTAGTTCAATTTTAGTTCATTTAGATTAATTAAGCAAAAGTGTTACCCCTAATGAGCAGAGGCTGAGTTTTTTGTTGCTTTTGCTGGCTGCCTTTTGGCCGTGCGTTTTCTGCTTGGCACGCGCTCAATGTCAAACTGACCAGCCCACCTTCCCCCGCCCACTTTCACGGCGCACCCCACCAGCACCCACCACCCACCACCCCCAACCCTTCTACGCCTTGGCTAACGAGCTGTTAAAAATAAAGCATTGTAAAATGTTGTCAACAAATGCAGACATTGTATGAATATATAATATAACGAGGAACCCAGCATATATGCCAAAGTTAAACAAAGCGTGGGCGAACCCCAGAAAAACGCAGCCGGGAAATTGAAAATCTTGCGGAAAATATTTGAAATCGAAGAAAAGGAATATGCAACTTTTATAGAATGAAATCTTTCGTAACCATTTGACTTTAATTACAAAAAGAAAATATTAATTTACCAGTGACATCTAAATTACAAAATCGATTTGGAATAATACAAAATAAACTATCACTTATGTTTTTGACTTTAAAAACATATTTATCATCTAAATTATTCTTCTTTTATATTTCAACTGTCCTAATATCCATTGAATAATAACAAAATTTGGTGTCTTTTTTGATTATTTTATTAACTTGATTTAATTTTAACTTCAAAGTAAACTTTAAGACGCAAATTTGTAATATTATAGTTAGAACCGTTTCACTTTCAATCATGAAAAGAAAGAAAGCTCCTTTTATCTTCTATAAATCCAATAAGCCAACGCTGCCACTTGTTGTAACCCACAATAAATAAACTTTCCCCTAAAGCATTTAAAAATAAATAAATTACCCTAATACCCAGAATTAATCAAACTAAAAAAACAAGCAACAAGCTAACAACGGGCTAAGCCAAATCATTTTGCCATATAAACGACTTGTTTACAACAATGCAATCTTGTTTACAAATAGCTGAAAAGAGGAGGAAAATTCCATTTCTTGCGGCTAATCGGAACGTAAAATTTTCCAAGCCTTGACACTCTTTCAATATATTGCGCACATATATTTTTATTCCATTTGATATATAGTGAATTTGATGGCTGTGATTAGACAACTGCAGCTGAATGTAAAAAAAGATTTTCATTTTGATTTTTTTCGTTTATGGCTTTTTTATTTACATGATAAACGAGGGGCAGACTGCTCAGCAAAATTAGCTGCTGTGTGACAGCTAAAGCGAAATAAAATTAAATTTAATGAAAATCAAAAGCGAGGCAGACACAACCGACTGCTGTCCCTTTCCAGCAGGCTTTTCCTTTTTGTTTTCCATGTTTTTATGACCATTTTCAATGTAATTTTTAGTGTTGAGTGGGGCACAAGGTGTTGTCGTTTTGTGTTTTCTGCGTGTGAGCTCTCCTAAACACTTTAAAATGAGTGTCGCTGGGGCTATTTCCAGTCCCCCACCTCAGTTACCCCTTATCCATCCATCGCATTCCCTTTGGCTGGGCATTCCTGACATCTCTTTCGATTGCTTCTTGGGGGGGAACAAAAATCGTGCTGAACTGTGAATTTGAAAAGGGGGAAACATTTTAATTTTCTGTGGTTCATCCAAAGAATTTCGGGGATCACTCACTGACTGAACTCACAAAGCTCATTGAACTGGTTTGTGCAGGGAAAAAAAATAGTAGAATATTAGTTGAATCATCATTAATCAAAGATTGCCATTTATTAAAAAACTATTTTCAAGAAGTCTCGTGGAATAAGATTTTTAAAAAGATATTTTAAATTTAAATATGTGGTTTAAGCTTGGTTTAAACATGATTTTGTCTTAATTTAATCTTGAGTTTAATATAATATGATTAAATCTTTTTCATACAGAAAGTGCCTAGGCTAGTTTTCCATTTATTATTATTATTTAAAAATCACGACCATTTTTTCTTTCTGTAGACTCAAAACTACTAACCCAAAAGCACTCAGCTTGCAATTGGAAAATCAATCAACTTGGAGGCTTTTCCAGCCAGCCGCCCAATGGGGAATTCGAAAATTTCACTTACAACTCGACGAGCCGCACACAAAGTGGCAAATAAATTTGCACTTGCATCATCATCATCATTGCCATATCGTATCGTATCGAATGGAATGAATAGGAATACGAATATGAATACTGATATTCCATGGCAGCCAGAGCGTCGTGTTCGATTGTTTTTCCTCGCAGCGCGCGAATGTGTGAAAAACATGCCGCAAAATTGCCGAAAAAGCCAAACGCACACATGGAAATTGCGGCCGACTGTGTGTATTTGCATTTTGCCCATTTTTGTAGTCAAATTTCTGTTGTTGTCTGAATCAGCCATCCTCCGTCCCACTTTCGCCCACTTTTTTCATCCCTTTCTGACGTCTTTTGGGTGAGCTTGTACAACGCGGCGTATGAATATAGAAATTTTATTACTGCTGGCTTTTCTTGTTGTTGTTTTGTTGTTGTTTCTAGCTTGCGCAATGTTTACACATTAAATTTCAGCGTCCAGTCAAAGTCAAAATCCATGTACACGAAAAAGAGAGAAAAGAGAATCGATCGGTGATTTTTTAAGGGAAAAACAGGGGAGAAGTTTTGCTACACTGAAAAATTATTTTTGTCCCAAGATCCATATTTAATATTAGAGATGATTTGAATATCTTCATGTATTTCACTTTTGCTAAAATAGTGAAAATATATTATATTATATTAAACACAGAGTATAATATAGTTAGGAAACAAAATTTTGAATATATCATAAAGATGATCAATAATATATAAAAATTAGATCTAAAGACTTATCAAACTACATTTTTTTATAATATCAGCTTAAAAGGATCTAATTTTTTTCCGTTTACTTGTTGTTCATTACTTTTGCATGTTGCAGACACATGTTCTGGAACGAAAATCCCAAACAACAACAGCAACAGGCAGTTTTTCGTAACTATATATGTAAATCCCCAACGTATGGCATCGCTATATATCCCACATTGTCCAGTTTTACTTCGCTTAGCAATTTTGCTGGCCAAGAAATTCGTTGGAAAATTCGGAAAACGAAAGCGCACGCATTTGTGCAAATAAACAATGCGCGGGTGTGTGAGGGGGTGGAAAACAGGTGGGGGTGGGTGGTTTTTAAAGGGGTGGGCGCAATGCTACATACATCTAAGCAATGTCTGAATAATTTACAGTGGGTAATAGGCCTACATGTGGGAGTATTGATATGGAAATTAGGATGAAAGATAAACGAGTTTTTATGACGGTTTTATTTTATCGCAAAAGAATTTTGTACGAAAAATGATGAATGCACTTTTTGATTTATTCTTCCATTAAATAAAAAGGAAAACAAAATTATTCTACGCCATTTAATATATTTCAATTCTTATTAGAGACAATGATTAAATTCCATTTTTAATTTTGCGAAATATTTTGTTTGTTGCCTTCCAATTTATCTTCAATTTTCTTTTCTAAAAGCCCCTTTGAGTCTGCTGCTTTTCCTCAATAAACGCAATAATTTGCTATTGCCACTGGAAACTATTGGATTCCAATCCCGCGAAAAAATGCGAAAAAACACAGAGAGTAAGAAATAAGAGGGATTGTCTTGGGATCTCGAGTTGGCAATTTGCAGGTGTTCCTATCGCTGGATAAACAAATTACCTGTCCTCCCCTTTTCCCCCGCTTTTTGAATTGTTACTTTTTTTTTTCCTCTGGCTTATTGGCAAATATTTTTCTTGGTAATTTAGTGAAGTTTTCATGCGAGAAGCGTGTGTCTGTCTTTGCAAAGGTCGTTCTTCATGTTTCACATTGCCTTTTATTTAATAAACTGATTCGACTTGCTGTTCTGT